TGTGTTTGTGTACGTATATATGTATATCACATTTTCTTTATCCAGTCTTTTCTACCTCAGAAGAGACTATGTAATTATGGCTCAATCTGATTGACACATGCTTGGAAGGATATCATAGTATCCTATTTTTTGAAATAACTTGATGTCAAGAGGTAGTATAACATTTCTGAAAAAAATATAATATCTCTGGTCAGGGCCGATTGTGGGTGAACCTGAGAAAGCTGCCTTGGTGTGAGGATCACGGCTCACTCTCAGAACCAGCAGAACTTACCAGAGTGATCCCATGGACAGGTAAAGATGTCCAATGGTTAGGAAAATTCACAGGCTGTTTGGTACCACTGAAGGTTTTTTATCACTCTGTAATCTCCCAAATCTCACCAAACTTGTGTACTTTTTCTCATTCCTGGCCTCCAGAAGGACATTTTCTAGTATTTCCATTTCAGAGCTCAACAGCGTATGTCCTTGAGTCCCAGTGGCAAGTGTCAGGAACTGTCAAGTCACACCTATCAACAAGTCAACTTACTGCAGAAAAAATAGAGAGCTGCGTAGAAGATGGTAACACAGGCAAGACCCTGGGTGAAAGAATTAGAAATCAAAGATTTTCTGTACTTAAACTTACTTCTACAAAAGTTCGGCTTCCTTCTTTGCCTTTCATATTTTATCAACCCTTGTGTTTCACCAAGATGAGGATTCCCCAGCTATGAGAATGGTAACACCTCAGAAATAGACAACATGACAAGAATAAATCTGCTTGAGGGAAACCTTGTGCCTCTACCTTGAATTTATTGTATGATTTTCATAGTAGAGACATGACTTGAGTAGACTCCAGGTGTCTCATTTGTCCCAGAAAAACCTTGAAAGGAGACTTCTGACTCTTTTCAAGTTGCCAATAAATGTGTATTGCTGCAACTGGAGTGACCATTTCAGTCCATCTCATTGCTGTGACACCAAGATATAAAATCTGTTATAATATGTCAGATGATTCCAAACATCTAGACTTCATGTTTCTCCAACTTTTGAAAAGAAGGAAAGAAGAAATATACATTGTCCCTTCTGTATACTTATACTAAGGCCGTTATTAAAAATAAACTTTTCTTTTCTCTTCTGTGTGTATGTCTTCCTCTATTTTGTCTTCTTACTGATATATCCCTCTACTGAACTCTTTACTTTTCTACCCACCTGAAAGTGAGCACGTCAGCACATGTTTAGGGTAATCAGCCCCATTTGTTAACCAGATGGGCCTGTGCCACACCCTCCCTCTCAGTCTCCTGATTGAGTCTTACCCTTTATTGGAATGAATAAGTGATTGTTTCTTTGTCTTTGTGTTTTATCCATACCATTTTCCCTGTCTAAAATATATTCTCTCTTCACAGACTACCTCTATCTACCAAATACATATTTCACCAATATGTATTTTTTAAGGACTAAATTCAATATTGCCTTTTCTGAAGACTTCCCAGGTTTTTTTTTCCCAACCCCCAAGTTGTTTACACCTATCTTTCCTCCCTCGATCTGCGTGACATTGGCCTTATTCCTGCCTTTGACATTCTACCATTAGTTCCTTGAGAATAAGGATGTCTTCATCATGAATCCACATCTAGCAGTGTCTGGCAAGTCTGTTCTCAATAAAGTGTTTTTGAAACCAGTTGAATGAAGCTACTTAACAGGCTCAGTCTTTTCAACTGACCCCTTTTGTTTTCACTTGTCCTGTTCTTCTGTGTTACTCTGATTATATGGATGCTCTGGTGTTGTTATTGCTATTGTTGTTTTCTTTTATGCTTTGCAAATCATACTCCTAATATATCAGATAAGGAGGCCATGGTCTTCCTCAAAAACATTAGAGAAGCTCTCACTCTTGGTCTAGGCAAGTTGATTTTATCCTTTTTGGTGACTAGATATTCTTTTAGGAAAACTACATAATCTTTGACCTCAAAAACGAACATCTAAAAATTGTGTCCCTCTGTGGAGCCCACGTTAGGAACACCAACCAGCCTGAGGGCATGCTGAGAGCTTTGACGTCTAGAAGTGGAAACTTGGAAGATGGTACTCTTCATAGGACGCAAGTTGAGAGCCAGAAAGTGAAGGTCCCAGGCCGGGTGCTGACGAAGACATGCCAGCTTTTGGGAGTTAGTACGTCATTGAGGCCCATGGGTCCTGAGTCCACATCACCTTAGAAATAGAAACCTTGACTTTGTATGCCAATGTGTTTATGCTCCTTTAATCCTGTAGTTTTTCATTCACCAAGCGTACTGTTCATTCTACCTGGAATGCTCTTCTCTTAAATCTTGTATAACTGTCTCTTTGTCATTGAGCCTCAGCTCACATATCACTTCCTCAGTAAGGCCTTCCCTGCCGCCCAATCCCAAGTACTTCTCATCACTCCCTCAGTCTCTCTCTGTCTTTGTCAGTCTAGAAGTATCTTATTTATTTGCTTATGGAATCCTTTTGGATCTGCCTCAGGTAGGATATGAGTTCTATGTAAGCCAGGGTCTTGTCTATTCTGTGCACCTCTCTTTTCTTGAGGGGTGACTCACCTCACAGATCAACAATAAATATATCTTTCATGAATGGATTCATGGAAGATATGGCATAATGCTGGGCACTGGGATATAAAATGAATAAGACATGGCCACCAGCCTCTAATTTTGTTCTAGGTAGAGAAGATAGACATAAAAATAAATTATTATAATCTTGTGTTAAAAAATGTGGTAAAAGTGGTTAATCCAAAACATAGTGAGGTCACAAAGAAGGGAGTGATCAACCCTAAGGGAGTGAGGCAGGATCAAGCAAGGTGAAACTTGAGTTAGGATTAAACTAATGAGTAGAGGCTCACCATGGAAAAGGAAGGAAAGGCATTGGGCATTGGGCAAACAGCACATGGTGCCTGCAGACATTCAGAACCGCAGGGCTGTGGGCAACATGGTGTGGAGCAGAAATTACCAGCACACTGTTTTCAGTTTTTGACTTTTTCCTTCAGGTCTGTGGTGTTTAGGAATCAGAGGTGCCAACTGAAGGCGTTTGTGTCCGCACTTAAGCCAAAGTTGCTGTGGTGGGGAAGTGATCCCCTAAAACTGTAATGGGGGGCAGCAGGCAATGATATAAAAACCTTGGTTATAGGTGTTTGTATCACAGGGAAGTAGGGAAGGAGTGGGAGGTAGTATAAGAGCTGCTTGGTCAACTGTACCCCCATCTAGAGTATCTTTGTCTCTCACTAAACTGGGTGTTTTAGATTTTGTATACACAGTTACAGTGGGTTCCTGCCACTCTCAGTTTTAAAACAAATTTAAATTATAGAACAACCATTCAACAGCTTCAGCAGTTAGAGGGTAAGGGTAGTCTTGGCCAGTTTTTGCTTGTTTAATTTAGATTTAAATAGGGGAGAAAAAAAAGGAATAAACCTGCATGTGAAATCTACAACTCAGTAGGAGGCATAATGTACATCTGGGAGCAAAATCTAAGATGTAAGAGGTCAGAGTGAAAGACGGTGGCGCGCAGTGAGACTCAACACCCTTTAAGGCCAAGAGATTTAATGAGGATGAGCGCGGTGGCTACAGAACCTGAGAATCAGATTGCAGCATGGAGGCAGGGGTGTGGCAGGTTTTATAGAAATTTAAAGCGACCTGTCGGTTACCTATTGGTCGGCAGATGAGGTATTTTTGGGATTGGCAGGGGCTTTCGCGGGCACAGGAACGGTGGGCTTTGTTGTGGAAGAAGAACCCGGAGAGCCTTGTCTGAGCCTCCATGTTAGTTTGTCTGGGCTCCTTCTTAGGCAGGAGCGCCTAAGTTACAGCGTGATAGAGTTATGAGTGGCTATGAACTCTATCACGCTGTCACAAGATTCAAATTTTGCTAAGTCACATAGCACAGAATAGTAAGAAATTGATGTACTTACATAGAAATTTAAGACAGCTTTCTGACAGCAGATAATAGATCTTTTAACCCCATCATGAGCCTGGGAACCTGCCTGAAGGTACGTGTGTCATTTAAGAAGGAAAAGGAACATGAACTCACTTGGGTTCCCTATTGTACTGGTCTCATCTCAGTCATTGTCTCATTGACTTTGTATAGCACCCCCCCCCCCAGGAGGTGTGTTATTTTTACCATAATACAGATGAGGAAAATGGGGTCATGTAAGCTCCCCAAGGCCACCAACTAGAATGCAGTGAAGCTAAGATATCACCCCAAATCCAAGTGATTTCTAACCCATGCTCTTTTGTTATTAAACCTATGCTAACCCTCACCCAACTCCATGATCTTCTGAGTCCAGCATCACACAGATCCCCATATTTTACTTTTTTCTCTAAATCTCCTCTCCTGCTTTCCTGCAGTAAGTATACCTTGTAACAAAGTACCTCCAGGACTCCTCTAGAATTCAGGGGTGCTTTTGTACAGCATTGCTTCCCAGTAGATGGTCCCTTTTTTGACTCGGCTGAAAATTTCCTAAAATTTCCAGTATGTGTTACTGGATTTTAATTCGATTTCTATTAAAGCACTCTCTTTATAAAAATGCCAGTGACCTTAGGGGGTGCAAATGGTTTTTGGCCATATGGCTGCTTTGTATAGTTGTGAAGAAGTCTGGGCTTTAAGTACAGCTGTCACCCCCACCTGTACACATTACACCCCATAGATGAGTTTTTATCCCTCTCCTTTCCACACTCCCCATTCTGAGTCTCCAATGTCCACTCTACCATTCTGTATGCTTTTGAAGACCCTTAGCTTAGCTCCCACTTACAGTGAGAACATGCAGTATTTGGTTTTACATTCCTGTGTTACTTCACTAAGGATGATAGTCTCCAATTCTATCCAAGTTGGTGCAAAAGACATTAACTCTTTTTTATGGCAGAATAGTATTCCATGGGTGTGTGTGTATGTGTGTGTGTGTGTGTGTGTGTGTGTCACATTCTCAGTATCTGCTGATCAGCTGATGAGCATTTATGTTGATTCTACATCTTTGCAATTGTGAATTGTGCTGCAATGAACATACATGTGCAGTGTTTTCTTCGTATAACGACCTCTGGTGCTTTGAGTAGATACCCAGTAGTGAGATTTCTGGATCAAATGGAAGATCTACTTTTACTTCTTTGAGCAATCTCCATATTGATTCCCATATAGGTGCGACTAGTACTGTCAAATAAGTGTGATAGGCATTGTATTAAACAAAATGGAGTACTTTTCTGTTAATGAGTACAATGGCAACTGCCTAGAGTAAATCTGTGCTGCGAATCTTTAAGAGGAAAGCAGAATTGCCAGATACATTTGATGATCAGAGATATCCTGGGAGAACCCTTACCAATGTCTCTAAGAGGGTGTTACTGGGAAATACTGATTAAATCTGTCGGCCTGCTTATCATGTTTTATTTTACTTTATTTTTTAACTAGTATTTTTTATTTCAATGCCTTTGGGAGATACAAATAGTTATCAGTCTGGGCCTTAAGAGTCTTGTACACATTGTACCCAATAGGTTATTTTTTTGCCCTTCCACCCCTCTCCCTTCCTCTTCTGAGTTTCCGGTGTCCAGTATATCATTCCCTATGTCTTTGCCTAATGATTTTTAATTTGACGAGGATTTGGGGTGATATCTTAGCTTCACTGCATTCTAGCTGATGACCTTGGGCCGCTTACATGACTTCATTTTCCTCATCTGTATGATGGTAAAAATAACACACCTGCTGGGGGGGGTGCTATACAAATGATTTTTAATTTTTACAATGATAGTGATTTGAGCCATCAAATAGTTTGTTAAAAACAACGTGGTATGAACAGTGCCCTCACTTTAAAAAGAGTTGACACTCATCAATTGCTGTTGGAAGAATCAAAGGCCAAGGTAGACATCCAGGCACAATAAAATATATCTCTGGTGTTGTGGATTTCCAAATAAGAAAACTCTTATTTAACTAGATTTTAATGAAAAGTATTGTTTCTGTCCCCTATTCGTTTACTAGTTAAGGTAGTCTTCATTAATAACGTGCATTTGAGTTTTCCGTTTCTTTTTATATGTTTTATTTTCCTATTCTCACTTTCCATGATACCACACACATTATTTTTTGAGAAAAATAAACTTGACCATCTCGTGCTTCATTTAGACCCCGTTATACATGTTATTTCTCCCATTGAATGAAAACTCTAATTGTTAGTTACTCATTCTAACAATTCTTTATCTTATTGACTCTTCAGGAAACAGACGTGGTGCCAGACACAAGACTTTTGGACAAGTTTAGTCAGATCACACCGCAGCTCTTCTCCCCGCTGGATGAGACCACCCAGCACCCAGCACTGGAGACATTGCACATCATTGACTTCTTTATCGCGTTGGCAATTTGCAACACAGTGGTAGTCTCTGCTCCGAACCAACCACGGCAAAAGGTGAGGTCTCAAATGCAGGTAAGGGCCACCTCCCAGTAGACTGCTCTGGATTTAAGTGTGCTGGTCTTGTTATATAGATGATGATAATAATAAATCATAGCAGCTGTGCAGCATGTATTCCGCATTTATTCTATGCTCTGCACTTCCCATGACCTAAGTTACTTACTGGTATTAACATGTTCAGTCCTCCCAGCAACTCTGTGAGCTAAATGCTATTACTCTACAATTCCCCATTTTACAGATGAGGTTAAGAAATTTGGTGGTTTCTCTCACCCATGCCAGCTCTGATATGTCTTTTGTGCTTTCCTCTCTTCTTTCTCTAATAAACTTTGTTTTAAAACTTAAAAAAGAAAGAAAGAAATTTGCTCAGAGTCAAAGAAGCATTAGGTGGAGGAGGTGGAATTTGAACCTAGGAAGTATGGCTCAGTGCTACTACACTGTCTAAGAGGACAGCTGATGGGAGCAGTTCATTCTGCTTTCACTTCCTTGCCAAATTGAAGCTTTTGTTGAGACTTCTGAGACCTCCAGCATCATAGGTTCCCTCAAACAAAATATAAAGTATTCACCCTCATGTTTAGTGACAACAGATCTGTTCATACTAGTTGGGTTTGTTTTAAACCGATCAATGTAAAATCCAATCCATCTATCATATACCAAGGTTCTGCAGTTCCTTCAAAAGCAGGATTTGTAAAGTTGCTGTGTAGCTTAGAATTCATGGAAAATGCATTTTCAGTGAGGAAGAAAGCTTGCTTCATAGGCTGGTGATTTACCACTCACTGTGCTGACATCCTTGTATATAACTATCTCGCCTTTTGCACACATTCGCTTAAAATTCAATTTGTAGCATAGCCCAATTAAATTTTAATTTTACATCAGATCATTTTCTTTTGGCAACTTCAGAGGTGGCCAACTTTAACATAAAAATAATTTACTTCCAATTAAGCTGCACTTGATCAGAAACTATTTTTACAAAATTTGCCTAGAAAGTTGCTCTTTAAAAAAGCAATTATGTAGGCAGAGAATAAATTCCTGGGTGTTCTTTCTCCCCTGTGTAACAATTTTTTTTATACATCTGTTTTCAAAGTAGGCATCTTTTGGTGTTTTCTGTTTAAGGAATAGTATTGTCTTATTCCCAAAGAATATAATATTCTACTGCTTGAAGAAAATGTGTAGGCATATGAGTCTAACTTTATGGTATTTCAAGGTAATGACAGAAGGGCATTTCTGAGTTGCTGATATATTTGAAAATCGATCAGCAAGAGACACTTAAACTGTCTTAAAATCGGTAGTTTTTAGGAGAAAACTTTTTAATTCCCTGGACATTTCTGATAAGAAAATTTTAGGATCCAACTAATTAGTCTTCCATGATTAGTGTTGAATTCTAAGTTTAGTCACTGATAAAAATTAAGATCTAGGAGAAATCAGAAATGAATAAGAAAAGATTTCACAAAGAAATGCAGCTGGTTGCAGTGGTTCATGCCTGTAATCCCAGCACTTTGGGAGGCTAAGGAGGGAGGATCATTTGAGGCCAGGAGTTTAAGACTGGACTGAGCAACATAGCAAGACCCTGCTTCTACAAAAACATTTTAAAAATCAGCCAGGCATGGTGGCACCCACCTGTAGTCCCCCCTAACTTGGGAGTGAGGTGAGAGGATCACTTGAACGCAGGAGGTTCAGGCTGTAGTAAGCTGTGATCATGCCACTGCCCTCCAGCCTGGATAACAAAGCAAGACCCTGTTTCTAAAAAAAAATAATAGAAATTCAAATTTACATCATGAAGCTGATAACTCTTCTCCTTTAATCTTTGTTTGCTGGTCTGTTTAACAGAAATATCAAAATAACAACCTTTCATAGACTCTGAACTATAAAAGAGAAAAAATACATTTTGTTAAACTTTTTATTTACTTTCTTCCAGTGTTTTCATCATGTGTATCACTACCGATTTTTCTTATATTTTTATACCATTCTCATAGTTTTACCAATATTGCCCTATAGACATTATTAATTAAATATTATAAAACATTCTAAGATGTTTCTTTTTTGCTGCTATGGAATACTTAATTTGCTTATAATTTTTAAGTTGTTATTGCTGGAATACACACAATAAAGGTTATGCATTTTCTACATTTTAAGTTATTTCTTTAAAAAGAATTGCTATAAGTATGCCCACTGCTAGCAAAAGAGCCATTTTATGTCTTTTGCTTTTAGTTGTCAAATGTCTTCCTAAATGGTTGTAGACTCTTCTGATGTCATCAATCTTAGCAGGCCTTGTTCATATGGCTATTTTATTTTTATTGATATTTTCCAAAGTAGTTGTAAATAAGGATCAGGCAGCTCCTTTTAAGAGAGTTGCAACTCTATTCAAGTCTAACTTATTCTCAGCTTGCCTTCCAAGTTGTTATAAACTGTTCTTGACCATATTACCAAGACCTTTCTAAACTGTCTTGCCTAGATCAGATGCCCTTCCCTGGGTGGAATGCCCATTAAGTCTTTGGAAGATATTAAAAACCTCTTCCAGAGATGGTCGGTCCGAAGATCAAGTTCACCGTCGCTCGCTGGTGGGAAGGAGCCACCTTCTGGAGCTCCAGTCTCTTTTGTGAGCAGACTGCCTCTCCTTAATCGAATGAAGCTGGCGTCACCCGTGGAGGAAGAGGTCTCTCAGAGCTCCGGGGGCTCAGCCTGCTACACGGATACAGAGAAACAGAACAGAGATGAGAGCCCCATGAACGGTAAGGGGGAGTGCCCCCCTGCACAGTCGCTGGCCTCCAGCCTGTGTTATGAGGCCGAGAGCCCAGACGAGGCAGCCCTGGTGTATGCAGCCAGGGCCTACCAGTGCACATTGCAGTCCAGGACGCCGGAGCAGGTTACAGTGGACCTGGCTGCTTTAGGGCCATTGACATTTCAACTCCTGCACATCCTCCCCTTTGATTCAGTTCGGAAAAGAATGTCCGTGGTGGTCCGGCACCCACTTTCCAACCAGGTTGTGGTGTACACAAAAGGAGCCGATTCTGTGATCATGGAGTTGCTGTCAGCAGCCTCCCCAGGTAAGTTCCTACACAGCAGAGACAGGAAAGGCTTGGAGATGAAAGGCCGCTCTCCATCACTTTATACAAGCAGAGAAGCACATACTGGGGGGTTGATTGCATTTGGTGAAGGAGGGGAAAGCTGTCTAGAATTTGGTGGAAAAGCAGGTTTGGGGGCTTCCCAGATTGGGGTTCAAATCTGGACCCCATTGTCAGCCATATCTTCATCAAGTTACCTAACCATTCTGTGCCTCAATCTTCAATGAAATGGGTCTTATAATACTGCCTCTGTAAGTTCCTGGGAGATTTAATAACATGCTATATGCAGTATGTGAAGAGCCTTTGCCAAGTGCCTAGCAAATGGTGAGTGCTCAATAAGTGCCAGCGAGTGTTATTACGAGTTATTCTTCATGTTGTCTTTCATGGTGTGGAAAACAGGAAGTTATTGGTACTTTCCTCTGCCCAAGGAGAAAGGTACAGGAGAAAGATGTATTCTGAGGGGTTCCTTTTATAGATACCATTTGGGATTCAAAGCTGGAAGGGCCTTTGTCTATTATAGATTAAACTGTCAGTGTTTTTCAAGATGTGTCTGTCATTGGGAAAACAGGTCAGACCATGAGTGTTTCGTTCATTCTTTCAGATGGAGCAAGCCTGGAGAAACAGCAGATGACGATAAGAGACAAAACCCAGAAACACTTGGATGACTATGCCAAGCGGGGCCTGCGCACCCTGTGTATCGCCAGGAAGGTAGGACTCTGAGTCTTTTTTTTTTTTTTCATTGTCTAACTATCATTTACTGAAAACTAGCATGTATCAAGTCCCAATCCAAGCACCGTGGAAAGTCTCTGGTCACCGGTTCTCTCTTCATCTTCTCTGTTGGTTGAAGTTTGTTCTTAAAGTGTTTTGCCAGAAGGATGCCTAAAAATTATCTTCTCCAGTTTCTCTCTTGTTTCATTGTATCTGTGAGGACCTTGGTATATAAACAGTTGTGTGGCCATGAACAAAAATCTCTGAATTGACATAGACTCTTCCTTCCCTTCCTTTGCTTTCTTTCTTTCTGGTCTTGCTCTGGAGTGCAGGCTGGAGTGCAGTGGCGCAATCACGACTCACTGTAGCCTCAATCTCTCAGGCTCAGGTACTCCTCCAACCTCAGCCTCCTGAGTAACTGGGACTACAGGCACACCACACCCAGCTAATTTTTTTTTTTTTTTTGTAGAGATGTAGTCTCGGTATGTTGCCCAGGCTGGTCTCAAACTCCTGGGCTCAAGCGGGCCTCACACCTTAGTGCTGGGATTACAGGCATGAGCCACCACACCCAGCCTTGGATCTTTCTTTCCCTTAGGACTCTGAGCATTGCTCCCTCTGCCTTCTAGCATTCCATGAGCTTTGGAGAGAATGAAGCCATAGGCCAGGTTTAATTTCCCTTAGAAGTTCTTGATATTTTTTCTTACATGCCCAGAAGTCATTTTTCTGTAAACCCAGGTTACCTGACTAGATATCATCTTTGTACTGATTACTCACTATTGAGGGTAATTTGGGTATGTAAGTAATAAGAAAGAAGACAGAGCCCCCAAGAAATGATTTGAGGGATGTTATTACTAGAACCTGTCCTTTCTGATCCAGATTCTAGTATTTGGGTGCTGCTTTAGGGAAAGTGAGCTCTGCTGTAGCCCCCAGAGAACTCAACCAACCTACTGCATGGAGACTGGAAACTATCCCCTCAGCCCACCCCACACAGCTGTATGAACATGGAGCATTGAAGATCCAGCCAACTCTGCCTGGTCAGCTGAATGACCCTGCCCTGATAGAAACATAGCCCACAGAGGTCAGGTTCCCTCAGATCAAATGGCCTTGTGGGTAAGAACAGTAAAGAGAGGAACTGCCTCACCCCCTTTATTCACCCTGCTTTGTATGCACTGAAATGTAAACTTCTCCCTTTATGGCAACCTAAGGACAAAGGGAAATAGGTCCTTTATTGCAATAGGTCCTTGGAATAAGACTTTGTGATTTCACCCACATGGCCCCTCACTTTTTCCCTCAACAAGTCATTAACAGCATAAAATAACCATCAACAGTTGTCAAAGGTGATGATGGCTATTGAATTCCTCAAACTGAATTGTCCTCTCACCACTTGCTCAACTGCACCATAGAATCGCCCAATCTGACTACCAGTTGGAGACCTCTCCCAACTGCATGCTTTCTGGTATAATGAAAGAGATGAATCCACTTTCATCATACATGATATTCAGATTTCCGGAGACCCTGGGGTCTGTCCATTATCAATTTTGTGCTAGCCTGATCACAGAGTTTGGGATGCTCACGTCCAGATGTTGAGAGAGCACAGACCTGTTGTGCCTGTACTCAGGCAGCAACACCTGAAGCGAGCTGAAGGCTTGATATTTTGTCCGAGGTGAGTCCTGGTGGGACCCTGTCCATCCTATGGTTTGCTTCCTAGCTTTGTTCTTCTTCCCATAGGTCATGAGTGACACGGAGTACGCAGAGTGGCTGAGGAATCATTTTTTAGCTGAAACCAGCATTGACAACAGGGAGGAGCTACTACTTGAATCTGCCATGAGGTTGGAGAACAAACTTACATTGCTTGGTAGGTAGATTCTGTTGCACGAGAATTGCCTGAATGGAGGATTTGGAAAAACACTGGATGTTTCCAAATAAGTTATTCCCCAGTGCCTTTTTTTCACTTTGAGCTAATGAATATATGTGTTTCTGCCTACCTGTGCAGTCTGATTTGTACCCAGTTTTCAGTTCCTTTCATTTCCTCTTCCGATGCAGTGAACTAGACTTCATTTGTGGTGGGATCAGGGTGGGCACCCTTAAAAAGATCATTTTAAAACCCAACACTTAACACAGTACAAAGCCAAATAAGTATCCTGGTTCAAGAGAAGGAAGCCCAAGTTTCTTGCCAGGTCTTGGATACTTAAAATGTGTTATCTTTTTTAATCCTCACATCAAATCTCCGTCTTCTTTCGAGGAAACTTGGGTCCCAGAGCAGTTCAATGACTTGTTCAAGGTTACATGCAGGTGGCTGGCAGAGTTAGTTACTAATTAACCAAACATGAAACTTAGGTCTGCCTGGATCCAGGGTCTGTTTTTTATCCAAAACCTGCTACTAGACTACTGCAATTTATTTCTGTTCTCTTCCTGATTTCAACTAAAATTACACAACTGACAACTCTTGTCTTGGATTGAACTGCATCTTAGAATTATCTGGAGAGCTTTAAAACATACTGATCCCTGCATTCAACCCACTGAAGTTCTGACTCAAATGATCTGGTGTGCGGCCTGGGCACTTGAATTTTTAAAAGCTCCCAAATGTAATTCAAAGGGCAATCAAGTTTGAGAACCGTTGCCTTAGAGGCTGGAGATTTATTTTTTTCCTTTTTCTTTTCTTTTTGAGTCAGAGTCTCACTCTGTCACCCAGGCTGGAATGCAGTGGCACAGTCACGGCCACTGCAGCCTCACCCTGCTGGACATAGGCGATCCTTCCACCTCCACCTTCCAAGTAGCTGGAACTACAGGCACACACCACCATGCCCAGCTAATTTTTTGATTTACTGTAGAGTCAAGGTCTCGCCAAGTTGCCCAGGTTGGTCTCTAAGCCCTGGACTCAGGCAATCCTCTCGCCTCTGGCTTCCAAAGTACTGGGATTACAGGTGTGTGCCACCGCTCCCTGCTGGAGATTTTAATTCTAATATAAGCACTAACACATCCATAGACCGGCATCTGAGCTCCATTCTTCTGTTTGGGGAAAAACATTGATCTAATTCTGTCTAACAGCTAGAATAATGATGCCTACTCTTAAATGATTTCTCTGAGATGGTATTAAGTAGTTTAGGTCTACATTTCCTTAGCTACAATCCCCAAATCAAAATGCTCCATGGGTTTAGTGCCAAAACTCATTTGGCAGCAAAACCAGGCCTGTTTGATGGAAGACTATTTATAGTCCTTATTTTCCTAATGAATGTGAACATTTGCAAGTTTTCCTGCAGAAATATTAATATGCCTGATTACCAACTGTTAAAAAGATGGTATAGGCATATTACCCTTTAAAAGCGGAACAACTTTTGAATTCCAAAGCACATCTGGCCCCAACTGTTTCAGAAAAGAGATTAGTGAACTTAGATTAGAAAAGAGCATTTGCAGATAGATATTACATCTTCTTGGCAAGAGCATTTTTAAAAGCCTGTCCTTCGTGGATGTGGAGAAAAGGGAATGCTCATGTGCTGTTGGTGGGAATGTAAAATAGTTCAATCTCTGTGGAAAACAGTCTGGAGATTCCTCAAAGAGCGAAAGATAGAACCACCATTTGACCCAGCAATCCTACTAGCAGGGATCTACCCAAAGGAAAATAAATCATTATATAAAAAAGATACCTGTATTTGTATGTTCATGCACTGTTTACAATAGCAAAGTCATGGGACCAATCTAAGTGTCCATCAACAATGGACTGAATAAAGAAAATGTAGCAGGCTGGTCTCAGTGGCTCAGCCTGTAATCCCAGCACTTTGGGAGGCCAACGCGAGTGGATTGCCTGAGCCTGTGAGTTGAAACCAGCCCGGACAACTTGATGAGACCTCATCTCTACAGTAAATCAAAAATTAGCCGGGTGTGGTAGTACACGCCTATAGTTGCGGCTACTTGGAAGGCTGAGGCAGAAGGATAGCCGAAGCCCAGCAAGTCGACGCTGGAGTGGCCATGAGTGTGCCACGGCACTCCAGCCTGGGCAACAGAGTGAAACGACAACTCAAAAAAAGAAAAGAAGATGTGACATATATACACCATGGACTACTACACAGTTTGTTTCGTTTTGTTTATAGTTGGGGTCTCACTCTGTTGCCCAGGCTGGAGGGTAGTGGCACAATCACCGCTCACTGTATCTTCCACCTCCTGGGCTCAGGCAATCCTACCTCCTCAACCAGGAGTTTGAGACAAGCCAGGACAACATAGCGAGACCTCCATCTTTACAAAAAAATCAAAAAAATTAGCCAGGCATGGCAGTGCACACCTGTAGTTCTGGCTACTTGGAAGGCTGAGGCTGAAGGATTGCCAGAGTCTAGCAAGTCGACGCTGGAGTGGCCATGAGTGTGCCACGGCACTCCAGCCTGGGCAACAGAGTGAAACGACAACTCAAAAAAAGAAAAGAAGATGTGACATATATACACCATGGACTACTACACAGTTTGTTTCGTTTTGTTTATAGTTGGGGTCTCACTCTGTTGCCCAGGCTGGAGGGTAGTGGCACAATCACCGCTCACTGTATCTTCCACCTCCTGGGCTCAGGCAATCCTACCTCCTCAACCAGGAGTTTGAGACAAGCCAGGACAACATAGCGAGACCTCCATCTTTACAAAAAAATCAAAAAAATTAGCCAGGCATGGCAGTGCACACCTGTAGTTCTGGCTACTTGGAAGGCTGAGGCTGAAGGATTGCCAGAGTCTAGCAAGTCGACGCTGGAGTGGCCATGAGTGTGCCACGGCACTCCAGCCTGGGCAACAGAGTGAAACGACAACTCAAAAAAAGAAAAGAAGATGTGACATATATACACCATGGACTACTACACAGTTTGTTTCGTTTTGTTTATAGTTGGGGTCTCACTCTGTTGCCCAGGCTGGAGGGTAGTGGCACAATCACCGCTCACTGTATCTTCCACCTCCTGGGCTCAGGCAATCCTACCTCCTCAACCAGGAGTTTGAGACAAGCCAGGACAACATAGCGAGACCTCCATCTTTACAAAAAAATCAAAAAAATTAGCCAGGCATGGCAGTGCACACCTGTAGTTCTGGCTACTTGGAAGGCTGAGGCTGAAGGATTGCCAGAGTCTAGCAAGTCGACGCTGGAGTGGCCATGAGTGTGCCACGGCACTCCAGCCTGGGCAACAGAGTGAAACGACAACTCAAAAAAAGAAAAGAAGATGTGACATATATACACCATGGACTACTACACAGTTTGTTTCGTTTTGTTTATAGTTGGGGTCTCACTCTGTTGCCCAGGCTGGAGGGTAGTGGCACAATCACCGCTCACTGTATCTTCCACCTCCTGGGCTCAGGCAATCCTACCTCCTCAACCAGGAGTTTGAGACAAGCCAGGACAACATAGCGAGACCTCCATCTTTACAAAAAAATCAAAAAAATTAGCCAGGCATGGCAGTGCACACCTGTAGTCCCAGCTGCTCAAGAGGCTAAAGTAGGAGGATTACCTGAGCCCAGGAGGTCCAGGCTGCAGTCAGCCACAATTGTGCCACTGCATTCCAGCTTGGGTGACAGAGTGAGACCCCCAATTCAATCATCATCATCATCATCAGCATGATTGGATAAAGTCCCCTCAATTTCCAGACAAGAAAGCTAACCAAACAAAGAACAAGTAGGTTTGATAAACTCATTGATCCCTGAGGCCTCCGTCCCAAACTGTGACCCTGTATATGACTCGGCCTGAGACTTCACACTTCCTCGGGGTCTCTGGAAACTACCAGAGCAGTTTGAACAGTTTAGGGTTGAGCAAGCCGACAGACATGACTCAGTGCTGGCCTAGGTGAGTGCTGGCTGGTGTTGGCTTCTTATAAGCCCTGGTGAACTTTGGTCTTTTTCAGGGGCCACAGGCATTGAAGACCGGCTGCAGGAGGGAGTCCCTGAATCCATAGAAGCCCTTCACAAAGCCGGCATCAAGATCTGGATGCTGACAGGGGACAAGCAGGAGACAGCTGTCAACATCGCTTATGCATGCAAACTGCTGGAGCCCAACGACAAGCTCTTTGTCCTCAATACCCAAAGTCAAGTGCGTATAATGACATTAAACCAGCTCTTTTGTTTTTTCAAAACCAGTGGAGCATTTGGGATCTGATGTAGTAAGGAGGAAAAAACAAAAAGCAAAAACCAAAACAATAACTATTTGCTTCTTGATAATTATTTATTCTGTCCAGCTTGTGCTTGGCCAGACCAGGGGTGTAGGGGATGCCATAGTTCTTCTAAAGATTTGTTGGAAAATGGTAATGGTTCAGAGGAATCATGCTGAATAAAGGCATTAGAAGAAAGTTTCCTTTTTTATTTTATTTGCTTTTTTTCCCTCCACACTGGATTACTAGGGATTTGATAAACTTAGCCCAAAATAAGAAAATATATCAAGTCCTGAGACAGAAATCTGCCTCCCTTTCCAAATGAGAAGTGATAATTTTTATTGAAATCGGGTGAATACATTAATAAATTTTTTTTTCATTCTAAAAATAGACTCTCAGGGTAATCATGCCCTCTAGTGACAATTCTTAGATTGTGCTCCTGAAAATATCAAGTTTGAAGAACTGTTTCAGGGAAGGAAAAAAAAAAATTTTTTTTAAAGAAAAGGAATTTAAGAGGCTTAAACCGAGCCTATTTCCCCCAATTTTTCCTCCTGCTAACCTCTAGTGCCAATGTTTTAATTGGTTAAATAGGCATTTTATTTTGCTCAAAAGGTTCCTAGTGTAGTGGTTCTCCAAGATTTGTGTATATTGTTTATTTTGCTTGGAAAACTTCCCTCCTTCCTTCAGCAGTCAGACTTTTATTATCTAGTGCCTTTATTCAGCAATGACTCCTCTGAACCATTACCATTTTCCACCAAGTCTTTAGAACTATGGCATCCCCCACACCCCTGGCCCGGCCAAGCACAAGCTTGACAGAATAAATAATTATCAAGAAGCGAATCATTATTGTTTTGGTTTTTGTTTTTTGCTTTTTTCTCCTGACTGTGGTCTCCATCCCATCCCAGCCGTCCACCTTCTCGCAAATCTTCCAGAGCTCTCTTTCGGGCTCACATCTCAAACCCCTTCACGGGCTGCCATGATTGATTAGCGCGTCTTATGTTCAGTCTTCAGTCGGTACCCACTAACGGGTACATTTTGAGAAAAAAGAGTCTTCCTTATTTGACACAGGGTGGGTTCTCCTTGACAGTGGCCCAGTGACCTATAACCACAGCCACCGACCGGCTTCCAGGACCAGCAGGGGGCTGAGCATAAGAAATCTCTTAGTCATTTGGGTCACCAGAAGCCATGTGACCTCCGTGACTGGTGAGACCAGGGGTCAGATACCTGGCCTGCCCCTGAGCGGTCACAGCCACCTTGAGGGGTTACTCACCTTCCTGCACCTCATTTTCCTTACCTGTAACATGAGAGTAATGTCTGCTTTGTTGGGTTGTTGTGGGCATTCAGTGAGAAGATATAAATTGTTTAATGTTATACCTGGCAGATGAGAAAGCCTCAGTGAGCATGGAAAAAGAAAAGTAATCAATTCTGGGTGTTTGGTTTTGACTTAGAGATTTCTACAAACAGTAAAATAAAGGATTGTGTTTACAATGCATTCGGTCCATGTAACAAAATTGCACTTATATACCTTCAGTTTATATAAATACAAAACTTTATCTTATAAATATACAATTTATGTTCTGTTTAAAGGCATTTAAAACTATCAATCCAAGAAGTTTACTATCTACTGCAGATAATATTTTTTGCTATCAGTAGCAAAAGTATTTTTCTGCTCTCAATACCTATTTCATATGTGAATTTTCCAGATAACTAAATAGAACACAATGAACATAGTTTCATTTAGTTTTATGATGACTTAAGATAAAAAGCCAGGTACCCAGTAGAGGCTTAGTCTCTGGTGTTGAAGCCCTCAGGAGTTGTAAGAGTTCAAAAAGGATTTGAAGACCATAGAGCCTAGTTTGTCACTGAGTGAAGAGATCGGTTCTATCACATCCTAAGTGGGCCATCTGGCAGCCAGTTGAATGTCTAAAGTGGTTTCTGTTGTGTCAACTTTACAAATTTCCATCAGCTTTTGCTTCTAGGTTTGCAAAATGGATTATAAGTGTAGCCACTTATGAACTGTACATAGTTTCTATTCCCATAAGTTTCTATAAAAAAATGTTTAATACAGTCATATCCTGGATTATTTACTGTATTGCAATATTTAAAGGCCCTTCAGTGTCTGTCGTTTTTTATTTTATTTATTTTTGTTTTATTTATTTATTTATTTATTTTTGAGTTGGAGTCTCACTCCATCTCCCAGGCTAGAGTACATTGGCACACTTATGGCCAACCCAGAGTTGCCTAGCTGGGCTCTGGTGATCCTTCCACCTCAGCCTTCCAGGTAACCGGACCTATAGGTGCATGCTACCATGCCCAGCTAATTTTTTGATTTATTGTAGTGATGAGGGCTTGCCAGGTTGCCAGGGCTGGACTCGAACCTGCAGGCTCAGGAGGTCCACTCGCCTAGGCCTCCCAAAGTGCTGGGATTACAGGCTGAGCCACCAAGTCTGATCTGTTTTATTTTTATAATTTAATTTAAATTATTCTTCTGAGATTAGCAACTTTCTATCCTCATAATGTCTACTACAGTCTGTAAAAAGGCTTTTCATACATGATTTCATTTGATAGTTATAATAAATAGACATAACAGATAAATTATTTCCATTTTATAGCCAATTACTCTTCAAGCATGGAATAAATTTTGAATTTTCTGACTCCTCTTTCCGCATACTTTCTATTTTGTATTATACATCACACATTATATATATACATATGTGCATATATACATTTATGTGTGTGTGTGTGTGTGTGTGTGTGTGTGTGTGTGTGAGTGTCTGTGTCTCCCATTGGTTCTCATTACTTGTGGAGTTATATTTTAAGAAGCTGCCTTGCACTCCAAATTAGTGAATACTGACCCAGGCTCCTAGGAGAGATACAGACTTAGCTTCCTGCCAGCATCTGGTCACAACATTTTGTCAGTCAGTGAGCACATGACCTTGTGTGTGTTTCTGCCTAAAGGCATCTTGTGTGATATACACACTTGATTTACCCACGTTACATACAGGGCTGACAGCACTATAACTCAGGCCCCGCAAAGCTTATTTCACACGGGCAGTTTCTCTGGAAAGCACAGCACAACCTGTCCTGTGCCAAGGAGCCCTGGTCAATACAGCCCTGTGATCAAGAGTCTATTTAAACAGCAAAATCATGTCAAAACACAGGGAAATGTGAAAGCATGGCACCAAGCAGGCCGTGAGCAGGACAGGAGTTGACGGTATCCGGGCAGTTCAGGAAGACCAAGCCTCGCTTTGTTTAGCCCCAACCAGGAACGGGGTCTTGGCAAGACTCAGGCATCACCCTGGGCATGTCAGCACGTGATCATGACAGTGGCACGTGATCATGATGGTGGCACATGATCACAACGGTGCCACCAGTACTGACAGAGACGATACATAAGCATAAGCAAGGAGGCAAATCCACAAGCGGGAAACCCACGGATCAGGGAGATTAGCTGCATGTGTGTCTCTTTATAATTATTATTATTTTAAATTTCGAGGATGTTTTTACATATTTTTTTTACTTTATTTCATTATACAGATGTGGGATACAAGTCCAGGTTAGATACATAAGTAATGTATGTGCAGCCCTCTTGGGAAGATACCCGGTGAAACACAAATCGTTCTACAAAAAAGACACCTGCACATGTGTTGATTGCTGCACTATTCACAACAGCAAAAACATGTTTCTATATCATTTTTATAATGAAAAATAATTTGCATATAAAAACTAAATGCTCAGAAAATAACAGCATGAAAACCTTTATAACCAATCTATAACCATAAAATGACCATTTACAGTCATATTTTGCAGAGTATCCACATAGGCTGTGTTCTGTGCCATAGGCATATTAATGCTACAATGACTGTATTTCTATTATTGCATTGTACAGTATTGTAGCTGTGTCTTTTCCAATGACAGATATCTTAAAAACCATTTTGAGTTAATAAACATCATTTTCAATGACTGCAAGGCATGTTACTCTCTAAATGTTCCATTTTAACTTAACCAAACTCCAGAAAGTTTTTATAAAAAGAATTTTTCCTATTCTACATTGTGCTCACCATGAGCACAGTGGATTCATCTTTGTATTCTTTTCCATGGGGGCTTTGAAGGGACATAGGACTGAATGTGTTCCCAATGTGAGTGTCACTAGGTGACTCCGTTTGTAGTTATTTATTATTATTTATTTATATCCAAGTTGTGTTTACTGGGATGGTTTCCCACTTATCTGGATCCTGGAGGCCTTGGTGTAAAAGCATCCTGGAGGAGCTGGTGGTCCTCCCAGTGACTGCCAGAAGACGTTGGAGCAGCCAACATCCACTGAGCATGGCTAGTGGACTGTGGTGGTTTTATAGCACCCTGGGCATTTCATGTCCATGAACTGGGTCCCCGCACCAGGTACTTCTTCCTGTATTTCCCCTGCTCCTCTTCTGGAGACATGTTGTGTGAAGGTTGTCACTCCTGGAAGCCAAGGGGGCTCCATTTTAAAGTTGAGTCCTGTGTTTATCATTTCCGTGGCTGTAGATTTTTGTTGTGTCTCGCCCACGCGTCCCTCACCTTTCTCATTTTGTTGTGGGTCGAGAAATGCTTGACAAAACAGCGTTGAAGATCAAAGTAAATAGACCCTGAGGGAGGGGCTCTTCCATGCGTTCATGATTTCAGGCTTGGTGTATATACTTGAGTTCACTGCCCCTAGAGAGGCTCTGTCCTCAGTGGTCCTTTGACAGTGGTAAATTCTGAATGAGCTTCAGTCTTCCTCAGTAGAAACTCATTCAGTGAATGTTTCCTCAGTACCTGGTAGGGTCCTCTTTTTAGCATCATGAAGCCTTCCAGAGTAAACTAAAAGGAATATCTGCCTTTAAAGAACATCCTAACTAGTGTGAAATGAGCCTGTGTGCTAACCAGGTGTGGTAAGCACCACCTAGAACATTCTGTCCCAGATAGGAGCTCCATGAGGGCAGGAACTTTTGTGTCCACGGGCATATCTCCAGCTTCTAGAGTGTTTTCTAATATATAGTTTCTCAATAAACACTTCATGTGTAAAAAAATGTGTTAAATCAAAAGAAAATTTAAACAATACTGTTTTAAATGTCTGCTCTGTGCTGTGCCTTACACTAGGAGTTTTGCATGTATTAGTTTGCTTAATCCTCACAATTATCTTATAATGAAGATAATATTTGCATTTTTTTTTAGATAAGGAAGTTAGGACTTAAAGATTTGCCTCTGGTCACACAGTTAAGAAGTGATAGTATGAGACGAATGGAATGTTGGGATTGGCCATTGAAAAGGCAATTGCACACATGAAGAAATTACCCCACTACTTGTTTCTAAGAATTGGAGTGTGATGTTGCTCCATCCTTTTAACCCATCCTCACATACACACATAGAACTCTCTGGGGAGGCATCATAGAGTCTTTGAAAGTCATCAATAATCATTACTTGGGGTTTCCTTATCCAGTGATTGCTAAAGCATAGCAATAAAATTCTAGCTAGCTCTGGCCACTAAGGGCACCCCAAGGCTGACTATCTTTGCCTCTTGTTTCAAGGATGCCTGTGAGATGCTGATGAGCACAATTTTGCAAGAACTTCAGAAGAAATACCGAGTCTCTTCAGAGCAGCCGTCACTCCGTGTAGATTTACTTCGGCCTCCTGTCCCCCAGGACTCAGGAATACGGGCTGGACTCGTCATCACTGGGAGGACCCTGGAGTTTGCCCTTCAAGAAAGTCTGCAAAGGCAATTCCTGGAACTGACATCTTGGTGTCAAGCTGTGGTTTGCTGCCGAGCCACGCCCCTGCAGAAGAGCGAAGTGGTGAAACTGGTGCGAAGCCACCTCCGGGTGATGACCTTGGCCATCGGTGAGTGACTTTGAGACTGAACCCTGCAGGTCTCCCCTTCACACCATCCTAGAAGCCCATGCTCTGTCCTTTCCTTGCCCCCTTTCCCTCCCACCCCTCCCCTACTTTATTTCTACCACATTCATTCCCTCCCCTGTGCTTCCACCACCCCTTTGACCACCTCTTGTGAACCAGCTGTTAAGGATGTGGCATGGGAAACTATATAATAGTCTGTTGGTGAAAAGATGCCAAACTCTGTGAAATATTTTAAGATGGTTTATTCTGAACCAAACTGGAAGACCTAAGCCCAGGAATACCTATCCTCAGGAGGACTTGAGAATGCATGTCCACCATGGTTGAGTGGTGGTTCAGTTATATACATTTTGGTAAGACAGAAGTTACAAGGAACCATAAGTCAATACATGTGAGATTGTCATTTGGCCTAGGAAGGAGGGACATTCAAACAGGGGCCTGCAGGTCATAGGCAAATCTCAAGTTTTCTTAACTGGTAACTTGTAGTTCCTACTGAAGGAATTTTTGAAATCAATAGAGGACATGCTCTATTGAGATAAGGGGTCAGAAAACTCCAGGTTTGTTGTCATTTAGATGAACTCTTCTATGTGGCAGAGTTCAGGGAAGATAAGTAAGTGTCTTACACAGTTCCAGAGTCTAGGAGTCCCTAAGAGATGGCTTTGCAGGGCCACCAAATAATTTGGTTTCCTCCTTTATTTGTTATGTGATGTTATGCCAGAGTCAGGCTGGAAAATAGACTTTTTAATATGTAGGATAATAAGGTAATAAAACCCTATCCGGTGAGTCTCATCTGGTGGGACACCACGCCTTAGTTAGAAATTTGGATAAGAACAGAAAAGGTCAGACTTATTCCTCAGTCAGATCCCTCAATCAACGGGCTTCAGTCAGGTAATAAACTGAATCACAGTGCTGAAAACTCACAAGCACTACATTCAGAAAAGCTCAATTCAAAGGCATGAACAAGTCATTGATTCATTCAACAAATATGTCTCAAGTGCTTTTCATGTACCAGGCATTTTTCTAGGCAATGGAGATATAAGAGTGTATAAAACTGAAAAAAAGAATTTTTTTCTTAAAGAGCTTGCATTTAGTAGAAAGGCATTATACTTCATTAATACATAGGAGATAAGGTAGTGGGACATGCTTTTGAGAAAAACGAAGTGGAGTGAGGAGTGTGGCACCTTGGAGCTGGGGGAGGGGCTGCTGCTTTGCAAATGCTTTTCAGTGAAGGTCTCACTGCTATCTGTGAACAGAGACTTGCAGGAAGTCATAAGGGAACCATGAGATATCTGGGGAAGAACATTTTGGAAAAAGGGACAGTAAACGTGAAGGCTATGAGGTGAACCATGCATGCTACACCAGAGGCCAAAGGAGATTAAGCAAAGGGAAGAGTTTTCTGCAGATTTTCACAGGGCAGAGAGGTAGCAGGAGACCAGATCACACAGGTACTTGGAGGCTATTATTTTTGTTTTATCATTTTGCCTTTTTTTTTTTAATTGGATCTCACTCTGTTGCCCAGGCTAGAGTGTAGTGGTATGGTGATGGCTCACCACAGCTTCAGCCTCCTGTGCTCAGGTGATCCTTCCTACTCAGCCTCCCAAGTATCTGAGACTATAGGCACCACAACCAGCTTTCTTTTTTTTTCAATTTTTTTGTAGAAGCAAGGTCTCACTATGCTGCTCAGACTGACCTCGCACTCCTGGACTCAAGACTTGGCCTCCCAAAGTGCTAGGATTACAGGCATGAGCCACCACACAGGCCAGATTTTGGCTTTTACTGAAGAAATTAGGAAGCCATGGGAGGATTTTGAGCACAGGTGGGACGTAATCTGTCTTAAGTTTAAAACGATCATGTTGGCTGCTATGTCAGAGTCACTGTTGGGCTGCAAAGACATACATAAAGAGACTCATTTGGATGCCATCAAAATAATTCAGCAAGAGGTGATGGTGGCTTGGGCCCAGATGGGAGCAGAGAAAGTGGTGGAATGTGGTCAGATAACGGACATGGTTTGAAGAAAGAACTGATGACATCTGCTGACAGACTGACTAAGTTATATGAGACAAAGAGTTGTCAAAGGGAATGCCAGAGTTTGCCTAAGAACAGAAAGACCGGAGTTATCATTAGCCCAGATGGAGGAGGGTGAATCAAGAGTTGGGTCTTATCCTTGAGTTTGAAAAGGCCATTCAATGCCTACATATAATGTCAGGTAGGCAGCTAGGATAAAAGTCAGAAATTGAGCAATGAGGAATTGGCTAGAGATATAAATGTGGGACTCACACATTTAGCAGATCTCAAAGCCTTGATACCAAAGAAAGAGCATAAATAAAGAAGAGAAACATGGTAGTGTGAAATTGAGATCTGGGAGACTCCAGTGTTTAGATGGAACCCAGCCATCTCTGCAGTCTCTTTCAGTCTCTGCTTTCCTTTGGATAACTTGCCATCTCAGGTAATACTTCCCCTCAGGGTGATCACAAAGCTGCCAAAAACTGGATTTACAGCCTATCTTGCTAACAATCTGACTGCAGATTGCTGCAGTCAAGTATCAGGATGAAGATGGAATTTTGTTCAATTATCTTGATGAGTGAACATGTAAATGAATGAATTCTTCAAGCCCCTGGATCCTGATGTTCCTGAAGCTAGAACCCTGAGCTTTATAATTATATAAATTAGGTAGCTGGACATATTGGCCCTCCTGTGATCCCAGCACTTTGGGAGGCCAAGGCAGGTGAACTTCTTGAGTCAGGAGTTGGAAACCAGCCTGGGAAACATAATGAGACCTCATCTCTATAAATAAAAATAAAAATAGCCAGATGTGGTTGTGCATGCCTGTAGTCTCAGCTACATGGGATGCCCAGATGGAAGGATCGCCTAAGCCAGGAGGTCAAGGCTGCTGTGAGCCATGATCGTTGTGATCATGCCATTGCACTCCAGCCTTGGTGACAGAGTGAGACCCCAACTCAAAAAAAATTAAGTCGAGTCATGTTCCCATCTCTAAATAATCACTTAGGCCAGGGAGCAGAAGATGCTGATTGTACAGGCCTAGGTCGGTTGCCCACTCATCAACATGGAGGTTTGGGTCCACCCTAATCAAACACAGCGACTGAGTTCCCAAGGAAAACCAGGATGCTATTATCTAAAAACGCATGAATAGTTGGATAGCAGTGAGGAGCATTTGTTCATTATCAGGAGGAATGCATATTTGCCTCCTCTTGAGAAGCTCCCAGTGTTGGAGAGGCCAGAAGATCTGCACGCAACCATAATCCCATATGACAGGTGTAAGAGAGAGACAGGGCTGCTGGGGTCCAGGGAAGGGGCATCTGACCTATAGGGAAGACGTCCCAGTATGTTCCAGAGGAAAGGACATCTAAGCCAAGAGCAAGAACAATTGGAATCCAGCAACGCGGGGTAGAGGTGATGAGGACCGTGTTATAAAAACAGAGAGATGCACACGCTGTGGCCAGCAAGGATAGGGCCAATCTGGAGCATTGAAACTAGCATGGGTGGTACCAGAGAGACAAGTCTCCAGGTAGATGCCACAGCATGAGGGAGTCTAGTGCAGTACTGATTTTGGAGTTCTTCCTGAAGGCAGGGGCACTACCACATTTAATCTCTGCCTCAATAGCTGCTAAGTAACCTGGAGAAAGGGGATAAGCTTTGAAGGGTTTATTTGTTCACATGAGTGGCCCCTGTTGACTTGCAAAGTTTGCATCTTTGCTTCTCATATGTTTCTCACTTTTTCTTGTCCTCATGAAGGTGATGGTGCCAACGATGTCAGCATGATACAAGTAGCAGACATTGGGATAGGAGTCTCAGGCCAGGAAGGCATGCAGGTGAGTGCACCCAAGGACCTTGACCGTGACGTGCTTGTCCAAAGGCAGCACCCTCCATGGTAAAATCCCTGTGGTTGGGTGAGACTGTGTGTGGTTGACCCAGGAGTGGGAAACAGAAAGGTTATCCACTCATTCACTGATTATTTACTCGGTGAGTGTTGCAACATTTTCTTGGGTAATTTTAGCTGTGTGGTTCACTTGTTCCATTAAAAAAATTCCAGGAATTTGTTACCCAAATTCCAGGAATACGTTTTTTTAGCCCTACATCAGCTGTGTGGATTCTGACTCTGAAGAAAACTACCAAGGATTTGAATAAGGATTTTGAGACAGGAGGACAGGGAGGAGGAGGGGAAGAAAAGGATGTGAGAGAATGAGAATGAAGGGGGCGGGAGTGTCCTGCATGTGTGTGGGGAGGGGGCGGGGGGGATTGGACAGCATTTTAGGCACACAACTCCATTACATGCTTGTAATCCAAAAGACTGCTTTTCATTCATGTGTGGAATGAAAGCTGTCAGAGGAGGGTGGGCTTCGAAGCTCAAGGCTTCCTAAGAACTGTAGATAATGGCATCTTCGTGGAAGGTGAGAGACTCGACTCTTTGCCTGTCACGTTGTACTGTCCTGTGCAGCCAGGAGGGCACCACTTCTTAGTATTCTCTCCATTGAGAGAATGCATATTGTAATGCAGAAAACAGAGCTCTTGCTGAGGGAGCTGCTTTCCAGGGAAAGTTCATGTGCTAAAACTGCATCATGAGTAGGAACCAAAGAAAAATTTTGTTGCACGTGGCCATGTTGGAAAGCTGAATAGTATTATTAGGTTGGTGCAAAAGTAATTGCGGTTTTGGACTGTGACTTTTTAATCATTATAACTAGGTTCAAACACATCTTTATTAACCAAAATAGGAAGCATTACAATCAACACATTTTTGCCAATGAGATATAAGTTTGTTTATTCATGTATCATAAAAACCCGTGCTTCGGGATTCGACTAACTCTTAGAAAGCATTCTCTGCCTCCTGATTGTGGAAGCATCCCTGCAAAAAGTTGTCGAGATGCTTGAAGAAGTGGCAGTCATTTGGCAAGAAGTCGGGTGAATATAGCAGATGAGGTGAAACTTTGTAGCCCAATTTGTTCAACTTTTGAAGTGTTGGTTGTGCGACCTGTGGTCGGGTGTTGTCATGAAGAGTGACATCGTTCTGTTGCGCAATGCCAGCTGCAGGCATTGCAGTTTTCAGTGTATTTCATTGATGTGCTGAGATGAGCATCCTTCTCAGATGTCACGGTTTTGCCAGGATTCAGGAAGCTATAGTGGATCAGACCAGCAGCAGACCACCAAACAGTGACCATGACCTTTTTGGGGTGCAAATTTGGCTTTAGGAAGAACTTGGAGCTGTTTCTCAGTCCGACTGAGCTGGTCATTGCCAGTTGTCATACACAATCCACTTTCCGTCGCACGTAATAATCTGATTGAGAAATAGTTTGTTATTATTGCTTAGAAAAAGAGGAGATGACACTTCAAAACGACGATGTTTTTGATTTTTGGTCAGCTCAGGAGGCACCCACTTATTAAACCTTTTCACTTTTCCAATTTGCTTCAAATGCTAAACAACTGTAGAATGGTCAAAGTTGAGTTCTCTGGTAGTTGTAAAAGGATTAGCTTTGATGAGGGGTCATTGTCATCAACAGTGGGTCGTTGCCAACTTCTGATGGCCAGCCACTGCGCTCCTCGTCTTCAAGGTCATTTTCAAGGCTCTCATCTCGGTTGCTCAACTTCCTGAACCACCACTGCACTGTACGTTCCTTAGCAGTTCCTGGGCCAATTGCGGTGTTGATTTGTGAGTTGTCTCTGCTGCCTTACAACCCATTTTGAACTTGAACTCATAAGGTGACCTTGAACAATTATAATACTATAAGAAAGTGATTGACAGTAGTGGAAAGCTGTGGGGGGGGAGTGGGATTGGCAGTTGAAGGACTCTACTAGGGAGGGAGGAGCATACCTCTTCAACAAGGGTACCTGCATGATCGGTGTTTATATACCTAACCCTTAATTGTACCCCATATTTTTATAATAAATAAATAAATCTTAAAAAAAGAAAATTGCTTGAATTTGCCTTTTGTCTAACATCATTTCCATAGTCTAAAATAAATTTAAAATAAACAGCAATAAGTCATTAGCAAAAAAAAAAAAAAAACTTAAAGCATGAAATGTGCATTAAAATGATGCATAACATGACCACATTTATTAAGAATGTATTCCAATATCAAACAACAAATTTCAACTTGCAAAAACTGCAATTATGTCTGCACCAACCTAATAATAACTCTAGGCAATCCATTAAGGCTCTGTATTTATGGAGTTTCTGTTTTTTTTTTGCTGTTGTGTGTGGGGGCGGTGTCTTTGATATGCATGTAAGGCTTAAGTCACAGATGTAACAGAGTTGAGTGTGGTGGCGGCCAGGCTGCCCGTGCTATGTCTGCTCTGACATGTTTGGTGGCCCGGATGACTCTCTCTCTCTCTCTCTCCATTGCCTCCACAGGCTGTCATGGCCAGTGACTTTGCCATTTCTCAGTTCAGACATCTCAGCAAGCTCCTCCTTGTCCACGGGCACTGGTGTTACACACGACTTTCCAATATGATTCTCTATTTTTTCTATAAGAACGTGGTATGTAACCCCAGCATGTGTCCCTTCCCCCTTCACACATTCTGTCCTGGTTGAGTTGAGGATGAAGAAGAAGAGTCCTATGCTATGCTTACCTTGCTTATTGATGTTTTGGGAGCAGCCAGGATCACTTCTGTCTTACCAGAAGTCATCTGGAAATCAGCTGTGTTTCAGCTACTGACAGGAACTTGCTGGTCTTGTCCATCTGCATCTGCAAGCATTTTCTACTCTCTGGGCATTTAAATTAAATTAAGTCCTGTCTGGTTCATTTAAAATCCAATTTTTGGCCTTCTATAAAAGGTTGTGACAAGCAGAATTATAAAATGTTTAATGCTGTCTGTCAGTAGAGAATAAAAAGCTTTGCTTCTGGTTTACTGGCAATTCCAAAACATGTCTGCTTCTCCAAATTAATGTTCTCTGTGGTATGTTGAAGACACAGATGCAGATGAAAACCCGGGATAATGTGTTGGCCTGTAGCTAGCTGGCACTCACAGACACAAAAACTCTCAAGCCAGCCTATAAAATGTGTTTGTACTTGGTAGTTACTTAATGGCAAAGGAATTTTATTTTAATTATGTAATTCCTAAAAGGGCAGAATTTGATTAGAAATCCTAGCTTCTAATTGTCAGCATGCTATTTAAATTTGTTTTCTTTTTTATAAAATTACATTCATTTAAGTACTTCTAAGTGGGGTAATTATGTAACTATGTCACGATTTGTAGGCCAAATTCATTCTTAGTCTTTAAAGCCCATATGCAATATGTTAGTAGTAGACATAAGTTTATGTCCCTCTATTAAAAGATCATCTTTAGTAATAAAAATCACTTAAATGAGTCATTTTTATGATAGCCCAAATGTGTAAGTTAGATCTGAGTGTGTGTCTATTTATTTGTCACCAGAAGCATTTTTTTTCCTTTAGTACAATGAACTCTTCAGGAAGTTCTCAGTACTTTACTAATTAGAATTAGCACAGCTAATCAAAGTTTAGTAAAACTCAGATACTTTATGAGGATATTTGAAATGTATAATCACTCTGCCTGAACGTGTGGTTCTGGGGAAAGCTGTGGCTTATCATTTAAAATGCCAGGACTTAGTGGCCAATAACTTTTAGAGGGCAGCCCTCTCCCAAGTTTTTGTTTATTGATTTTTGCTTTTAGTACCTTTGCATATATCTACCCTCTCCCCTGAAGTAGCAAAACCTATTTCCCGTCCCTCCTTTTAAGTCCAGATCTAACCCATGGGTTAAGAAGCACCAATATTAGAATAATATGCTGCTTGCTCTTGGAGAGGCAGGGAGTATTCATTAGAGAGAATCAGGACCCCTGTGACCTTTCTACTCTGTAATCCTTGTACATCCATTCAACTGACACCCTCCAGACTTCATTGTGACCTCTTATTTATCTAGCTAAAAATGAATATTTTATGAACTATGGAGAAAAACCACTAGAGTTGCTTACCTTTCTGAGACCGTGGTTCCTGGGTTGGACAAATTTTGAGGTACCAATGAAGACTATGGCTTGACTCCCCAGAATAGAATCCCCCAAACCACACATGTGCCCAATGGATACATTATGGATATATATTCAGGATCTGGGAATAATGCATGTTACGGACACCAGACTGGAAACTCTAAGGATTGTGACCCTTGTCCTAGGATGTTCCAGTGTATCTATGATGCCAATCTCTCTTTTTTTTTCTTCTTGAGACAGGACTCATTCTGTCACCAAGGCTGGAGTGCAGTGGCACAGTCGTAGCTCACCATAGCCTCAACCTCCTGGGCTAAAGCTTTCCCTCCACCTCCACCTCCCAAATAGCTGGGACTACAGGCATGCACCACCACACTTGGCTCATTTATTTATTTATTTATTTTATAGAGATGGGGTCTTGCTATGTTGCCCAGGTTGATCTCAAACTCCTGGCCTCAAGTGATCTTCACCCCTCTGCCTCCCAAAGTGCTGGTGCTCCCTTGATCTTGATACTAAGACTTAAGGTCATTTAATTCTCAGTTTATTGAGTAGGAAATCAAAATTCAGAGAGGTTAGGAAAATGATCTAAAGTCAAACAGTTAATAGAAAGTATCCACGGGCCTTGCTGGAGAGCAGCTCAGAGCTTCACTGTAGTGAGCCTGGCTTCTCTCAGACAAAATACCAGAGGAAACCATGTAGGATGTGTGTGTGGTGACCACCTGTCCTGGTTTGCCTGGGACTGTCCGAGTTTTAGCACTGAGGGTCCCTCGACCTGGGAAACCCCTCAGCTAACCTGGAATGTTGGCCACTCTGTGGGCACCATCCTATTTCAATGCTAAGTAACTGTGAACCCAGAAAGCAAGAGAATTCACATTTGTGGCATGCCTGTCCTGTGCAGCACTGGACTAGGCTCTCTTCCTTTGGAGTTAAATATCTCAGTTTGAGTCCTGGCTCTGCCACTTAGGCAAGTTCCTTAGTCTCTCTAGGCCAGGGCCTCAGTTCACTCAGGCTGCTATAACAAAGTATCATAGACAGGTGGCCTATAACCAACCTTTACCCCCACAGTTCTTGAGGCTAGAACTCTGAGATCAGGGTTCCAGCATGGCCAGGCTCTGATGAGGGCTTGCTGCCAAGCTGCAGACATCTCGTTATAACCTTACATGGTAGAAAGAGTTAAGAGCTCTCTTTCACAAGGGCACTCGTTCCATCCATGAGAACTTCAATGTCGTGACCTGATCACCTCCCAGAGACAGCATCTCCTCTTAACACCACCAAGCTGGAAATTAAGATTTCATAGGAATTTGGGAGGAGCACAAACATTCAGTTTATGACTCGGTTTTCTGATTTGTAAAACGGGAACAACAATAAGCCCCAAGTTGTTATGAAGATTAAATGAATTATTGGTAAAGCACTTAGAACAATGCCAGCACCAAGGAGTCAGTGTGTGTGTATGTGTGTGTGTACGTGTGTGTGTGTGTGTGTGTGTGTGTGTGTGTTTGTATGCACACGGACTCATTTTAATTGAATAAAATATTAGCCAAAAAAGCTGCAAGGGGACAGGCACAGTGGTTCATGCATGCATGTAATCACAGCACTTTGGGGGCCAAGGCAGAAGGATTGCTTGAGACCAGGAGTTTGAGACCAGCCTGGGTAACATAACAAGACCTCATTTCTACAACAAACAAAAATATTAGCTGGATGTGATGGCACGCACCTGTAGCACCAGCTATTAGGGTGGCCAAAGCAGAAGGATTGCCTGAGTTCAGGAGGTCGAGGTTGTGGTGAGCCATGATCATGCCACTGCACTTCAGCCTGGGTGACAGAGTGAGGCCCCAATTCCAGGAAGAAAAAAAAAAGCTGCAAGGAAAGTTGTCATCTTCCTTTGTGTAAGTAAGAAAACTCAAGGGAGGCTGAGGTCACACAGCTCAGAATGGCAGCCTGTGGGATGTGTGGTCACAGCATGCATTGCTGTTTCTAAGACCTGGATGTTTCTCTTTGTGCCCCTAGGCCTATGTGAACCTCCTTTTCTGGTACCAGTTCTTTTGTGGGTTTTCAGGAACATCCATGACTGACTACTGGGTTTTGATCCTCTTCAACCTCTTCTTCACCTCTGCCCCTCCCGTCATCTATGGTGTTTTGGAGAAAGACGTGTCTGCAGACACCCTCCTGCAGCTGCCTGAACTTTACAAGAGTGGTCAGAAATCAGAGGTAGGTGTAAAGAGAAGATGCTTGGATGGATATATATCCATTGTCAATGTCAGTGCATTTTTTCTTTTTTTTTTTTTTTGAGTTGGAGTCTTACTCCGTCGCTCAAGTTGGAGTACAGTGGCACACGGCCATCCCAGCGTCAACCTGCTGGGCTCCAGTGATCCTTCCACCTCAGCCTTCCAAGTAGCTGGAACTACAGGCACATGCTACTACATCCAGTTAAATTTTTTATTTATTGGAAAGATGAGGTCTCACCAAGTTACCCACTGATCTTGAACCCATGGGCTCAAGCAATCTACTCACCTTGGCCTCCCAAAGTGCTGGGATTACAGGCTGAGCCACCGAGCCTGGCTTGTCGGTGCAGTTTTTAATCAGCCACCTCAAATACCTCAATCCACTTTTTTCGGAGCTATTTAAACTTTGAAATGTTTGATTGTTTTAAAAGAATCTATGGCAGATAAGAAGCTACTCACCTTTGAGATGAATGCAGATAAGTCTACAAAAGGTCTTAGGTACTTACAAGAAAAAATTCAGTGTTTGGACCTTACAGCGAGTACTATGTAGCATTTACTAAACCCTGCTGCCATCTGTCTTCATGAAAGCACATTGAAACGGAACCTAGTATTGTTCCCATTCTAAGATAAAGAATCTGAACCACAAAGGGGTTAAGTCATTTTTCTAAATATCTCACAGCTGAAAAATGGCCCAGCATGTGTTAGAAATAATGGGGTCTCCTTGGCCTGAGTTTCAATTGTGGTTTTGTGGTATATAAACTTGGTAGGTTCTTTAACTCACCTCTATTCAATTTTTTTAACTTTGGGGAATGACTTGAGAATTAAAGAAGATAATATGCATGCAACTTTCAGCCATATTAAGTGCTTATTCTTATTATTTTTACCCTCCATAATTCACCAGAAATTTGAGGAAATCTCAAATTTAAAATGATGCGTTTATTTTCATCACTCTATCTTTATTCTGACTTGAACTACCTGTCTGGAATGGAGGGTAGTTTCCTGTCCTTAATCTTACCTAGAACAGCCAACAGAAAAGTCACACATTCAAAGGTCAGGAAGGAGAAATCCTTACAATCCTTTAATATTATCCATTCCATTCAGGTCAAGAAGCTCCATGGAGTTTTCCTGAAGGAGTCTGATTTGACTTAAAGCTCAAGGCCAGAGTGAAGGAGTGTGTGACTGATATCAGTGAAGGTTTTCCTGTACCCCAGGCCTTATTTAGATTCCAAATCCACTGGGGAAAGGAGGACTGAAGGAGATTTTTAGTTCGTTTTGGTTTTTGCTTTGTTTTGTTTTGTTTTGTTTTATATCTAAAGTCTTAAGAGCCTGTTTGTACAGACTAAAGGTTGTAATTGGTCCTCATCCTTAGAAGAATCAAGGTCATTGTTTCCTGTTGGTGAATCCTGTTATTAATCCTTGGTACACATTGTTCTATTGAGCTGACTGGTTTTTTAAAGAATGAGCTTAGCTGGCCGATTCCCAGCATGTGGCTATTGATTAAAAAAAAAAAAGGTGATTGATTTCCTTGATTTTGCCTTCTAAGATTTGTGTTTTCTTTGAACTTGGCCTCCAAACAAATTGTGTGATGTTGGGGTCATTTCCTGTGTTGAGGGTCATGAAATATACTCTCCAGAGTTATAGAATCTCTCTTCTCTGAAGGAGATGAGTCTGGAAGTCTGCATCCAAGCCTTGCCTTCCAAGAAGCCTCTTCCCCATCTCTCATCACCCACATAGGCTTCTCTTCTACTTTGACTTCATGTCTGGAATTCCCTCTTTCCTTATTTCCAGTAGATCCTGTGAGTTAATCCCTTCAGCTTCTCATTTATCTTATCCTTGTCCCTTCTCTCTCTAGAATGGAGGACAATTTAGTGTCTTAGGCTACCTACAGCAGCCAACATCAACTTTCAGGGAAGGAGAAATCCTTATAACCCTTTAATATTATCTAATCCATTCAGATCAAGGAACTACATGGGTTTTCCTGAAAGAGTTCAGTCTGACCTTAAGTTCAAGGCCAGGGTAAGGAAGTGTGTGGTCAATATGATGAAGGTTGTTACTTTCCTAAGTTCTTTTCCTCATGTACTGTGGGAAAAGGTACTTTTAACCTTTTCACTCTAGGTTTTTTGAGCAACATCTATTCCTCTAGAAGTTTGATGTTATATTTTAACTTATCTCTGAATGGCTCTTTTCCAGTGGCATTTTGGGTTAGCCCTTTGTCTCTGTCTCTGGAACATTCTCTTCAACTATTGGATTGTGCTTCTGCTTAGAGTGTACGGATGCTTGGATGAAGAAAGGCAGGGAGAATATCCCATCATTTCCAATGAGAAAATAGTGAAAAAAGATACAGGAAAAAGTAAACTAGAAACAATGAATCTTCCTTGCTTTGACTTTCCAGAAAGCAAAGGGAAAAAAAGGATCAATGTGAGAATTCCAAGTGTGGTCTTTGGAAGACTGTATGTGGAAAATTTGTGTATGTGTAAAGCTTTGTTCTTTAAGAGACAGTGAGACATGTTCAAGGAAGTTTCAGCCTCTGTTTGCATTTGGAATAAAATAAGTCCAAGAAGAACATGTTATGAAAAGACTAGCTCAGGGATGTGACACACGTTTCCATTTTCATTCATGGCAGACATCACTAGTAAACTACAGTACTTTCCCACTGCGTCTGATGCAGCCTCAGAATCCTTCTTCACACACACATTGCCATTCAATCAGAGCTGGCTCTGCTTTGAAGAACTATTTTCCATCACTCACCTAGTGTTCCTACCTAATTCTTCTTTCTTTCTCCAAGAGTTGTATAGAAAGCCACGTAGTATGTAGTCTCACTATGTTACCCAATGTTGTTGTATCAAACACTGTTCTAATCACTGGAATAAAAGAGTCAAAGTCTTTCTCTATGAGACTTGCGTTCCACTCAGAGAAACAGGAAGGCATTAAGTCAACAAATAAAGAGTGTTTCCGATGGAGATGACGTCTTAGGATGCCATGGTAGTAAGTGACCGAGTGGACACGACATTTAGACTTGCCTGGTGTGCCTAGATGTGTAAGTTATATTTGAGCAAGGATAAAAGTAATAAAGAACTGATCTTGTGGGAATCATGTACAAAGAATTCCTTGCAGAGAGCCCCAAGAAAAGAATGGGTTTTGCACTTTCAGGGAAGAGATTGAAGATTTCTGTCGCAGCATTATGATGGTACGAAGTCACCCAGAGAGCTGTCTAGTGGGCAAACTGTGCGGGACCTTACAGGTCATGGGAAGAAACTTAGATTGTCCTGGAAATACAGTGGGAAGTCCTTGGAAGGAGTCAATTTGATTAATTAAGGAGAGGGCGTGACAGGATTTACATTTAAATCCTGGTGTGGGAGGAGTGGCTGGTGCGGGAGGAGTGGATTAAGAAAGCACAAAGGGTAACTGGATGGTTACCTAGTCATTCAGAGAATTGATGAGGAACTGGAATGGAGGAAATACTGTACATACAGAGAAGTGGATAGATTTGAAGAAGTTTGGGAACAACCCTCTCTAATCAGCAGGAAATGAAGTTAGCACTACTAGCCCTAGTTAGGGTAGATTTAAAATTGATCCAATGGTAGGGGCAACCTGAGTTGAATAAGGGCTCCTTCACAGATTTTTTATTTTTTGAGCCAGAGTCTCACTCTATCACACAGGCTGGAGTTCAATGGCATAATCACAGCTTGCATAGCCTCTAGCTCCTGGGATCAGGCAATCCTTCCACCTCAGCCTCCTGAGGGACTACAGGTGTATGCCACCATGCGTGGCTAATTTTTTGATTTTTTTTGTAGAGACAAGGTCTTGCTATGTTACCTAGACTGGTTTCAAACTCCTGGGCTCAAGCAGTCCTCCTTTCTCTGCCTCCCAAATTGCTGGGATTACAGGCTTGACCCACCGCACCTGGCCTTTCATGGATTTTTTTTTTTTCCACCACGTTCATCTGTGGACTCTGCATTCAACTTTCCTCATGCTTTCTCCTCTGTTGACAAATCCTACCTGTTTATGAGAGAATAAAGGAACAGAGTTGTCTCCCCAAGAAGCAAAGAAGTACTGGTTTGTAATGTTTCTTGACTTTGCTCCAATTCTCATTAATCTCCCTCCCTTCCCAATGTCTGCTTCATTTCAGGCATACTCACCCCTCACCTTCTGGATCACCTTGTTGGACGCCTTTTACCAAAGCCTGGTCTGCTTCTTTGTGCCTTACTTTGTGAGTCTTTGTGCCTCAGTGCATTTGTTACTCATGAATCAATGATGCTTCCTTGTCCACAGCTACCAGCATCAGCACATAGAAGGGCAGGTGGCTCATATAATCAGGTTGATTATTAACTGACTAAATTATTATCTTCCCCTCATATATGTTAGGTAATAAATTAAATTTGGAAAGAAGTACCAAGTTTGAGTCCTCTTGGGTGTCTTGTTAACCCTGTACCACTTCATAATCTTTATGAGTGACTTGAAAAAAGCAGAATATCTGACCATATAATTAGAATAGTCAGAAATCAGAGAGGCAAAATCAGAACATGAAAGCTTTTATTAGTGAGTTCTGGACTAACATTCAGAGCATTAAATTTAAGATTCTATAAATAGTATCTCTAAAACTAAAAAACCTGCCAGTTTTGGTGACTTTAGGGAGGCTGAGGCAGGAGGACAGCTTGAGCCTAGGAATCGAGACTAGCTAGGCAGCATAGGGAGACTTCATCTCTATAAAAAAATACAACAATTAGCCAAATGCGGTGATGTACACCTGTATTCCCAGCTACTCAGGAGGGTGAGGCAGGAGGATTGCTTGAGCCCAGGAGATCGAGGCTGCAGTGAGCTGGGATTGTACCACTGCACTCCAGCCTAGAGGACAGTGAGATCCTGTCTCAAATAAATATGTAAATAAATTAATATTTAAAAATAAAACAAAAAAATGTTATAGGAAAAGAATGGAAGAAATGTGGCTAAACAAAGAACGTGCAAAATTTAATTGTTGACACCAGCATGAGGCAGCACTGTACAGCTGCTCACCCACATCCACCCCTCCCCAGGGGATAACCCTTGTTGTATCATGGATGGTGTCAATAGAAGCACAGTATTAAGAATGAAAAAAACAGTAACCTCTAACTTCAGTTTCCATTCTTTATTCAAATAAAATCATTTGAATTCGCCTGGTTAGGGTTTTCTGGCTACACTACACTTCAAGAGGAAAGTAGACTAGGCATCTGAAATGTATTCAGAAAAAAATGAAGATGATGGTAAAACCTTAAGAAAGTGTGCTATCGGCCAGGTGCAGTGGCTCACACCTGTAATCTCAGCACTTTCGGAGGCAGAGGTGAGAGAATTGCCTGAGCCCAGGGTTCAAGACCAGCCTGGGCAACTTGGTGAGACCTCGTCTCTACAATAAATCCAAAATTAGCCAGGAATGGTGGTGCACACCTGTGGTTCCAGCTACTTGGAAGGCTGAGGTGGAGGAATCACCTGAGCCCAGTGGGTCAAAGCTGCAGTGGCCGTGAGTGTGCCACAGGACTCCAGGCTGGGTGACAGAGTAAAACACCAACTCAAAAAAAAGAAAGAAAGAAAAAGAAAGTGTGTTATTTGAGGAATGGTTTAAGGACTTAAAGACATATGTAGGAGAAGAGGGTACATTTACCTAAGAGAGGTATAAACTTAGGGTACGTTTAATAACTGCTTCACAGGTTTGCAGCTCTAGTGAGTGCAGGTCTTTGAGTTTTATAACTCAGGGAGCCAGCAGTCTGAGTAAAAGGCCCCAAAAAGACCAGTTGTGATGGCAAATAAAGAAGAATTTAAATGAAAAGTTTGAAAATTAGATCACCTGCCTAGGAGAGTCAGGCTCTTTCTTCTGGAGATGTTCAAATTTATCCCAAGTGACCAATTCACAGGGATGTGGCCGCAGGGACTCAGGCCTCAAATGAGCTGTAGAGAGAGTGGTGTTACTCACACCTTCCAGGATCACCTGCTGTCATCTCCTCTTTGCAGACCTACCGCGGCTCTGACATTGACATCTTCATGTTTGGAAACCCCCTGAACACAGCTGCACTGTTCATCATCCTCCTACATCTGGTCATCGAGAGCAAGAGTTTGGTGAGTGGTTTTCCTGCCTCTGAAGTAGCCCAAAACCTTTCACACTTGGGGATATGTCTCCTGTCAGCTGTGAGCCTGCCGAAGCCTTCATGCCTAGAAGGTCATTGGTAACAAGAAGATGAATGACTCCGTGGAGGAGGCTGAGTCACAGCTCTTCTTGGTGAAGTCTGAATGCCACTGTGCCAAGGTTGATATGTAGCCAGGGAGCATGGAACATTACCAACCTGCCCCCTTTGGCGGCATCGGTGGTGGGTGGCTTGTCGAGGTGTGAGGCAGTCTGAAGGAATATTTACCTTTCCACAGCCAGCATTCTCCAAAACTAAGCTGATAACTAATCCTGGTTCACTAACTTCAGTGATGACTTTATGCCTTTCTCATAGCACAAAATATAAACTTTTTTGCTCTCCCTTGGGTAAAACCCTTTGGTGGTGGTTTCCCATTGTTCTTTGAATCAGATCTGGAAGTCCTGAGATGGCCTGTGTGGCCTCATGCGTGGATGCCCTGCTCCTCTCTCCAGCCTCATTTCCACTTATTCGTAGGATGGAACCACATTTTTCCTCTTCCAGTTTCTCCAATACATGGAGCTCATTACCACATCAGGACCTGGGCACTTACCATATCTCTTAATGGTGGCATTTTTAGTTCCTCCTTGTAATCCTGCACTCCACCCACCTACAAAGTTGTTTTAGGTCTCAGAAAAAATGTGTTCTCGTCCAAGACTCCTTCCCTAACCATACATGCTCTCATTTCATCCTCTGGCTTTTACTCACAACTCTAATAATAATGTATAATTATTTGTTTAATGATGTGATTATCTGAGGCTGGCCATGTTGCCTCGTACCTATAATCCCAGCACTTTGGGAGGCAAGGACGGAATAATCACTTGAGGTCAGGAGTTGGAGACCAACTTGGCAACATCACAAGACCCCATTTATATACAAAAAATTTAAAAATTAACTGGGCATGGTGACAGGCACCTGTAGTCCCAGCTACTTAGGAGGCTGAGGTGGGAGGATTACTGGAGCCCAGGAGTTTGAAGCTACAATGAGCTATCATTGCACCATTGCACTCCAGCCTGTGTGACAGAGGGACACCATGTCTCTAAAATAAAAAATAACAATGTGTGTGATGATCTGATTCATGTTTATCTTCTGCATTAGACAATACTCTGTGAGAGCAGTATTCATGCCTATTTTGCTCACCATTGTATACAAGTGTCGAGGACAAGACTGCACACAGCAGGTGCTCAAAAAATATTTGAATGGACAAATGAATGACTAAATACCCGCCTAGTGTTTGGGATATGTATACCATCCTGGTAATCAATGAATTTCAAATAAGAAGTAGCTGTGTGAAGTTATACTTTAAAACATGTGAAGTTTATTATAAAATTATTCATAACAATTTCCAAAGTAGGGCTGATTCTTTCTGGCCTCCCTTGCTTTGCTTATAACATCTATCACCAAATCCTGCAAGCCCCAAATGCAGTAAAATTTAGTGTCAGCAAATGTCAGATGCGTAGAATAAAAGGAAATTCTAGAATGAATGATCTGGGGTTGTTTCAATGTCTATTTAATGTTTAAACAATTGTGTAGGCACTCATGGTCACCACCTGGGGAAGCACCACAGGCTCTGAGTTACAGAAGATCTAACACATGAAGTTTCATTAGTTATGAGCAACAGCAGTCTCCTCTGGATAATCTGGACAAATAGAAAAGTGATTGTAAAATATATTGAAGAACCAGGGTAAAACAAAACAAAAAAGTCCCAAGGAAACAGAGTGATTCTGGAGATCCAGATCCAGGGAACAGAAACGAGTAGGCAGGTACATCCAGAAGTTCCTCTGACCCGAGCTGGCTCCAGTCATTATCTTTCCACTCTTGCCTTGTTGCCCCCCAAGCCTAGTCCCTAGTGGTAGAGTCCTGTTTCCCCAACTTCTGTCATAGACTTGGAAAGGGAGGAATACACAGCCCAACCATCAAGTTCATGAACTCATCCTAGAAAAAATGCTGCATACCTCACTGCTGAATATCACTTTGAAATTCTCCCCTTGAGAAGATATGCACTGATGCCAGCACCTAATTCACCCATCAAAGCAGTTTTGGAACTCTTTTTCTGGAATGGCCATCAGAGCCGTCATCGTATTACCCCTGATGTCCTGGGGTATTTCAATATTTTCTTCATCTTTGGGTAAAGAAAAAAGTCATGAGGGGCCAAATCAGGTGAGTAGGAGGGTGTTCCAATACAGTTATTTGTACAGTGCTGCCAACGTAAGTGCCCAGTGGCATTTTCATGAACTTGTTAGTCCTCAACGAATAACAACGACAGCTCTGATGGCCATTCCAGAAAAAGAGAGTTCCAAAATTGCCTTGACTGGTGGACTAGGTGCTGGTGTCGGTGCATAGCTTCCCAAGGGGAGTACTTCGAAGGTGACCATAGTAATATTCAGCAATGAGGGACATTGCACTTATTCTAGGATGGCTCGCAAACCTAATTGCCGAACCTCGTATTTTACTAAGTCTGCGCACAATACTGGATATTCTCACCAAGAAAAAGGGGAGTCAAGGTTAAGAGAAACAGAAAAATAGAATATTAAATTCAAGAGTTGAGGAAAACAGATGGCTACTGAAGGAGGCATCGTTTGAGAATTGTTTTTCATGCAGGAGGACATGTGATTAGAGCTTCCAGCCCCTATAGACCCCTTTTCAAAAAGGATCAGCCATTCTGAGAATCCAGGACCCTTTCCCCTCATACTCACCATCTCGCCACTTCCTGTCAGTTCCTCTCCAGGGTTCCTTGGCTTTGACTTCCTTCTACATACTCACTTCTATAGATAAACTCTATGAAGTCACTGCTTCACTTGCCAAAAGCACATCTTAAGAGAAGAATATTGAAGCAAGAGGGTTCAAATAGAAGGAAGGAAGGACAGGCATTAAAGGAAGAAAAAGTGAAAAAGGAATCCTTGTTTTAGCGGCATGAGATCCTTAATCCAGAAGTTAGCCAACATTTTCCTAGCAGTTTGTGTCTTTTACAGAAGATAAGTACTCTTTGTGACACTTGTGAGGTTACCTACCATGGGGAAATACTTGGCAAGATTATGAGGGAAAAAGAGAAAATCAGATTGTGTGGGAAAATTATAGCCCTAGAAAATAAAAAAGATGAATGAAGACAGTCTTTTCCTAAAAAGCAGAACATAGGCCACTTAATAATATAAACTATGATTTTAGGTGGCACTGTACACAGCACTGAATAACACCACATACTACTTAATATGAAGGTAATTCTTTTTTCACACTTCTGAATATGTCAGAGAAGAAGTCTGATGCTATTACATTTTACACAATAACTCTTGCTATCTTCCCTTTAAGACAGTCAGACCAGACCCCAGCCCCAGCACTTCTGTAACAGACAATGCTAATATTACATTTCAAATAGTGTTCTGCTTTTCTTTCTACATGAAGTTGCTTAATTAAACAGTGAGCCAGTTTTTTAAAATATTAAAGTTCACACCTGTAATCTCTGCACTTTGGGCAGCCAAGACAGGAGAATTGCTTAAGAACTCAAGCAGTGCTAAGGTTGGGCACAGTGGCTCATGCCTATAATTCTAGCACTTTAGGAGGACAAGGCGGGAGGACTGCTAGGAGTTCAAGACCAGTCTGGACAACATAGCAAGACCTAATCTCTACAAAAAAAAAAAAAAAAATCAGAAAATTAGCTGGGCATGGTAGCACACAGCTGCAGTCCCAGCTATTCAGGAATCTGAGGCAGAAGGATTGCCTGAGCCAGAGCCATGATTGTGCCACTGCATTCCAGCCTGGGTGACGGAGTGAGACCCAGATTCAAAACAAATAAATAAAGTACTATTTCAAGCTCTACGTGGATATAAAGGTAGCTAGGTTATGGTGTGACATGCAAAGAGTCATTCTCTTGCTCATATAAAGTTGGCTGATGTTCTAGAATGCTATAGAAGTTAGTTGTCCTGAGGGGTGACTCTGTGACTCAAGCTGTGTCTTGTAGCTGTACTGCCTGGAATTGTCTTCAAAGGGATGTTTTGGTTACCATGGATGGAAAGGAGACCATGTGAATGCTTGTGCGCCAGCTTCTATCCAAAAGTTTTACCTACCTCTTCTCTCATGTCATTGAACAAAGCACGACATACAGTCATGCTGAATTTCAAGACAGCGGGGAAGTATGATCCACCCAAATGCTTTCTGGGGGAGGAGAATGAGAGTGCTTGTGAGCAATAGTAACGTCTACCACCTGGGCGAATGACTAAAGTTCAAGAACCCCTGGGTTAAGTATTACCTTAATGAAGAAACAGACTAATATATGACTATATAAAAGAGAGAGAGAGAGAGAGAGCTTGTTATGGTGGTGCTTCCCTGTAGTCCCAGCTACTCAGGAGGCAGAGGTGGGAGGATTGCCTGAGCCCAGGAAATGGTGAGCTGTGATCATACCATTGCACTCCAGGCTGGGAGACAGAGTGAGACCTTGACTCAAAAAATAATAATAATGATGATGATGTAACCTGTTCACAAAAAGTTCTCCTCTTATCTCTCCAGCATTTATTTTGTGGGTTGTTTTTTTTTGTTTGTTTGTTTTTTTACCAAGGCTGGTCACACCATTCTCCCCCTGCATAGATGTGTGATCTCTCAAACCAAGCAGACGTGGGCAAGCTTCTGGGCCCTGTCCATGAGATAGCATTTATTCCTTTTGTGCTTCTTGTCTTGCAGACATGGATCCATGTGCTGGTCATCGTCGGCAGCATCTTGTCCTATTTTGTCTTTACCTTGGCCTTTGGCGCCATGTGTGTGACTTGCAACCCCCCATCCAACCCCTACTGGATTATGCAGGAGCACATGCTGGATCCCGTGTTCTACTTAGTTTGTGTCCTTACAACCTGCGTTGCCCTTCTGCCCAGGTATGGTATTCGTTTCATCATTAAGAAAATCACTGGACTCAGAGGCTTAGAATTCCTCAAGCAGCAACTAAGAACGGTTGGCAGATCACCCTGCTCAGTAATGGGGAAGCCAGTCTGTGTAGTAGTCAAAATATTGCTTTTAACTGTTTCATAAGAGGACAAAAGTGGCATAAGCAAAATAAGAGGTTTATTTCTCTCTCATGAAAAAGTCTATCTGAGCTGGATGTGGTGGCTCATGCCTGTAACCCCAGCACTTTGGGAGGCAGAGGTGGGAGGACTGTCTGAGCCCAGGTGTTCAAGACCAGACTGGGCAACTTGATGAGACCTTGTCTCTACAATAAATCAAAAAATTAACTAGGTATGGTGGTGTGTACCTGTAGTTCCAGCTTACTTGGGAGACTGAGGTGGGAGAATTGCCTGAGCCTAGAAGTCAAGGCTGCAGTAGCTGTGAGGGTGCTATTGCACTCCAGCCTAGGCAACAGAGTGAGAACCTGACTCACAAAAAAAGTCTGTGTGGTTGACCGTTCACAGGGATAGAGCAGTTTTGCTTCCTAAGGTCATCCAAGGACCTAGACATCCGTTTTCTATCTTTATACTTTGTCATCTCCCAGGATTGTTGCCTTTGCCTTGGTCCATTTTGTGCTACTACAATGGAATACCAACAGCCTAAGTAATTTATAAATAGAAACTTATTGACTCACAGTTCTGGAGGCTGAGAAGTCCAAAGTCAAGGCACTGGCAGGTTGGGTGATTCTGATTCCAAGATGACACCTTGAACACAGCATCTCCAGATAGTGGGAGGTGGAAGGGTAAAGAAGCAAGAGGGACTTGAACTTGCCCTTCACACTCATGAGGGCTCTGCCTAATCCCCTCTTCAAGGGCCCACCTTTTAACATTGTTTCAATGGCAGTTAAATTGTAACATGAGTTTCAGAGGGGGCAAACATTCAAACCATAACAGCCCACATCTGCAGGGTGGCAGACAGCTCAGCAGCTCATCTCCATCCCCACCTGCCTCTGAGTGCAGGAAGGGAAAGGAGGGAAAGTGAACGGCAGGCAATTTTCCATTGTTGTTGTTGTTACGGTGGCATGACCTGTAAGTTGTACATTATTGCTCATATCCAATTAACCAGAACCTAGATATTTATAGATTCTAACTGAGTGGCTAAAATCCAGTGGTTTCTAAAAGGAAGAAGGGAAGAATGAATACTGAGAGACTAGTAGCGGTCTCTACTACACTCTGCAGACACTGAATGCTTTACAATTCCCTTCCCTGATCTGACTCCAACTATCCCTCCCATGTAGTTTAACGTGATTTCTAATATTGTAGGGGATGAATATGACTGAGAAGAAGGCACAGATTTGTAATCTATAGATTCTTTGAACTCTGCGAAAGCTCTTCCTCTTTATGTCTTATAAAAAAATCTGTTTATCTGAAAACACTCTAATAGTCGTTCTGCCCTTTTAAACACAAATGAGGGTCAAAAGGGTGAATTTAGGTTATTCTCCAACAGGGTTGACAAACGGCAGCCAATAGGCCACATCCGATCTGCTGCCTGTTTTTGTAAATGAAGTTTTATTAGAACACAGCCATGCTTATTTATTTGCATATTATGTTGCTGCTTTTACACTGCAGCAACAGAGGTGAATAGTTTCAACAGAGACTGTCTTGCAAGGCCCAAAATATTATATCTGGCCTTTTATAGAAAAAGCTTGCCAACCCCACTCTGTAACACCATCATAAGGCACGTTGGATACAAGCCCTTTGCTGCTGCCAAACGTCTCTTCTAGAAATGCATGAGAAAAACCCATCGGAGTCATTCAATAATGGTTATACTGCCAAGTTGAAATGCTTCTCTAGTACTTCCTGCTATTACCAGCTTTCAGATTAAAACTGACAGTACAAACTTGTAGAATTTCCGAAAAGATAATTACTTTGAGGTATAACCTTAAAAAAATTCTGAACATTAACAGTATAGTTCTAATATTATGATAGGCTGAAAAATGACCCCCTAAAATATAACCATATCCTAATCCCTGGAACCTGTAAATTTTGCCACATTATGTGGCAAAAAAGGACTTTGCAAATGTGATTGATTGTGGATCTTGGAATGGAGAGATGACCCTGTGTTGTCTGGGTGGTTCCTAAATGTAATTGCAAGTGTCCTTCTAAGAAAAAGACGGGAGATTTGGCACAGATCAAAGAGGAGAAGGCACTGTGGCTGTGGAGTCAGTGATGACTTAGCCACAAGCCAACGGATGCCAGCAGTCACTAGAAGCTGAAAGAGGCAGGGAATGGCTTCTCTTCTAAAACTTTCAGAGGGAGCCTGGGTTTTCCAACATCTTAGCTTTGACCCAGTGAAACTGATTTCAGAATTCTTGACTTTGAGAACTTTGAGACCATAACCTCTTGCTCTAACAAGAAGTTTGTCATAAGTAGTTACAGCAGCCATAGGAAATTGGTGCAGATTTTGGCACCTGGAAGAGAATGCTGCTACAACCAGTACCTAAAGTGGTAGTGACTTTGATATTGGATAGTGGGCAGAGGCTGGAAGAATTCTGAGCCACATAATAGAAAGATTCCTAGACTACCTTAAACAGACTATTGGTAGAAATGGGGAATTGAAGTTGCAACCAGTGATCTTAATAACTACGTTTACTGGCTAGGCTTGGTGGCTCAGCCTATAATCCCAGCACTTTGGGAAGCTGAGGCAAGTGGGTTGCCTGAGCCCGCAGGTTCAAGACTAGCCCGGGCAACTTGGCAAGACCTCGTCTCTACAATAAATCAAAAAATAGCCAGGTATGGTAGAATGTGCCTGTAGTTCTGGATACTTGGAAGGCTGAGGTGGAAAGATTGCCAGACCCCAGCAGGTCGACGCTGGGGTAGCCATGAGTGTGCCACTGTACTCCAGCCTGGGCAACAGAGTGAGACTCCAACTCAAAAACAAAAAACAAAACAAAACAAAAACTGTATTTGCTTATTGGTTCTAGTATTTTATGTAGATGTTCTATGTATCCAATAATGCCACTAGCAAAATAACATCCAATACATTTTTTTCCCTTGGGTACTTTTTAGTTCTTATTGAACTGACTATGGAATCTTTAAAAGCGTTCTATATTTTCTTATACAGTATGATTTCTTTTGTAATATTTTATGACTATCATTAATCAAATTAAAGAAATTCCATTTTGTTTCTAGTTTGCACATTTTAAAAAACATGATTTTGTGCATCCATTGAGATAATATTTCCTATTTTAGACTATTAATATAGAAAATTAATGTATTGTGTGACATCAAAACAATCTTGTATTACAGAAAAGAAAGTTATAGCCAGTTTTCTTCTGAAAGTTGATGTTTCAGAAGAAAGTGAGGGCCAAGGTAGAGAAAACCTGCATCATTTTGGAGGATATATACATCATCATAAATAGAATGCTGCTAGAAATATGAGTTAAAGATTCTGCTGATGAGTCAGAAGAAAATGAGGAGCTTGCCTTGGAAATTTGAGGGAAGTAGATCTTTAAGATATAATGGCAGAAAACCTAGCTGAATTGCTTTACTGGAATGTGGAAAGCAATGAATTTGGATCTTTGGTGGAGGAGATTTCTAAGCAAAGTGTTGAAGTTGCAGCCTGGTTTATTTTTATTGCATATACAAAAACATGAGAGGAAAGAGATTGAGGGAAAAACTACTAAGTCAAAAGAAAGTAGGTTCGGGAAACTGGCCTATCCAGACTGCAGCAGTTGCTAAAATTAGGAGATTGGCTATTGGGAGTGTGCTAGGAGAGAAGGCCAGGAGCATAATTGGACCACTCTTTTGCTAGTGCTGAAGAGATTAGATGTGTGACTCTTGGATGACCTCTACCAAGCAGCATCCAGGAATAGATGCAGGCTTATGCAGGAAAGATCTGCAGAGGGCCCTCTGGTCTAATGGCATGAATCTCAAAAACATACATAGGAGACACAAAATTTTTGAAACTGTCATACCAGTAGAAACCCTGCCAGCCTAGTCTGAAAGGAGCAAGTTTATGGCACCTTGTTACAACAGCCATGGGAAACTAATACAGATAGCTAGCATTTTTTGAACACTTACTAAATGCCAACACTCTGCCTACTTTATATGTATTATCTCATTTAACCTAACATTAAGTCTATGATGTAGCAACTGTTGATATCGCTATTTTTACAGGTTTTATTGATTTTTGTTTACTTAGTAAGCACGTATGTGACACTTACTATTTTTTAAGTGCTTTGCAAATATCAGATTCGTTTTTAATGTCTATTTTACAGTTCATTACTCTCTCCCTTTACTTCAGGAGCCAGGTGGCTACCAGAACCTTCACTTTTTCTAATTGGTTAGTATTTTTTGTGTGTTCCATGATGCATTTGAGGTGAATTTAATCCTGTGGTGTTTTTTGTCACCTAGGTTTACGTACAGAGTTCTTCAGGGATCCCTCTTCCCATCTCCAATTCTGAGGGCTAAGTACTTTGACAGACTCACTCCAGAAGAGAGAACTGAAGCTCTCAAGAAGTGGAGAGAGGCTGGGAAGAAAAATCAGCTACCCTCTCAGTGTACTGACCAATCAGCTGATAAGTCAGGGGGAAGACCCTTACCTGGCCCTTCTGCAGTCTTTGCAATGAAGTCAGCAACTTCCTGTGCCATTAAGCAAGGAGACATATCTGTGTGTGAAACTGCTTTCGACCCACAGTGCTCTGAATCTAAGGCTTCTGACATGGCTGGCTCCTCAGGAAGTTGAGAAACCAGGATACCCCCATGGAGTTGCAAGTCGTCTTTCAAGGTTGAAAGAAGGATTTTGAAGGGTTTTTTAAACTGACAGGATGAACTTGTAGAATTTCTGAAGAGACAATTACTTTGAGGTATAGCCTTAACAAAAATTCTGAGCATTAACAGTATAGTTCTTATATTATAGTCAGCTGAAAAATGACCCCCTAAAGGATAACCATATCCTAAACTCTAGAACCTGTAACTGGTGCCTTATGTGGCAAAAAAGGACTTTACAAATGTGATTTAAGTATCACATTTGAATGCATTAAGTATGGATTCAAAGAAGAGGTACCTCTAGCAAGCAAGAGTGACTGGTATTTTTCCATAAGGGACATGAACATTTGACTAGGCTTGGAAAAGCTGATGTGGCCGGGCGCAGTGGCTCAAGCCTGTAATCCTCACTTTGGAAGGCAGAGGTGAGAGGATTACCTGAACTCAAGGGTTTGAGACCAGCCTGAACAACGCGGCGAGACCTTGTCTCTACAATAAATCAAAAATTAGTCAGACATAGTGGCACAGGCCTGTGGTTCCAACTACCTGGAAGACTGAGGCAGAAGCCAGCAGGTCTAGGCTGCGGTGGCCATGAGCAGCATGCCACTGCACTCCAGCCTGGGTGACAGAGTGAGACTCTGACTCAAAAAAAAAAAAAGGAAAAGCTGATGTGATTACTATTATTGTATGTCTGTGTATACATTTGTAATAGAGGGATATGGTTTAACCTGGACAGAGTTTAGGAAAGTGAAATATTTAATTCAGAATCTAATGCCTTTATAAAACTTTTTGGATTTTGTAAAAGCATTTTAATTGTCTTAGAAAGGCAAATATTTTCAAGGAAATTTATTTGGGATATATTTATTTTACTGGGAGACCTCATATTTCTGGGAAATGCTTTAAATGGGCAGGCTCCAATCTGAATTTTTTTAATGGAAAAAAGTAGTTTTTAGATTGCTTTAGGACTTACAGGAGATTTTCATATGGAAAAATATTAGTGATTAATTTACGGATATGTTTCTAAGAGCTTTTTAAATTGCAATGTACATAAAATAGTGTATAAATCGCACTACTTAAAATACAGTTCGTGATTACTAACAGCTTTTTATTTCCTGTGGGCAGATGCCTTTGGTCTTCTCACTGAAGACATTAGGCCTGCCTCTCTGCTCATTACAGTGTTTTCCTGAGGTGGAACCTTCATTGAGAAGGCTCAGGGAGGATTGTAGGATTCCATCAAGTATCAGCAATGTATTCCGTTCTCGGCTTCTAATCAAATAAGACCTTTGATGAGGCCCTACAGATGTTGTCAGTTAGGGAACTGAGGCCACTAGCCAGGCAGAATTCAGCTCAGCCTATGGCCCATTGGGTAAACTTCCTATATCTGAAAATTGACAATGACTGAATGTGGTGGCTTACACCTCTAATCCCAGCACTTTGGGAGGCTAAGACAGGAGGATTGCTTGAGCCCAGGAGCTTGAGACCAGCCTGGGGAACATAGCAAGACCTCACCTCTACAAAAAAATCAAAAAATTAACTGGACATGGTGGCACACGCCTGCAGTTCCAGTTACTCGGGAGGCTGAGGCTGGAGAATTGCTTGGGACCAGGAGTTTGAAGCTGCAGTGAGCCATGATTGTGCGACTGCACTTCAGCCTGGATGACAGAGTGAGATCGTGCCTCAAAAGAAAAAAAAGAAAGATTGAAAGAAACATGAAAGAAAGGAAGGAGGGAAGGAAGGAAGGAAGGAAGGAGGGAGGGAGGGAGGGGGAGAGAGGGAGAGAGAAAGAGAGAAAGAGAAAAAAAGAAAGAAAGAAAGAAAGAAAGAAAGAAAGAAAGAAAGAAAGAAAGAAAGAAAGAAAGAGAAAGAAAGAAAAACTGACAGTCATCAAAATGATACAATCAGTTTCAAAACAATCTTCCAGAGACTACTTGAGAGTTCATAATTTTTACAATTTTTTACAATACCCTACAACTTTTCTGGTGTTGTAGCCTCTAAAGAATTAAATATAAGTTGACATTAATACAGGTTGTTCTCAGGAAGTTTCTATGAGGTTCTTAGAAAAATGTGTTTTTAATGCATTTAAGGACAGAAATGTCTATAGCAAGTTTACTCTGTTGCAAATTGTGTATGCTGGCTTTAGTTATGACAAAGAAACTTGTTTCTACTGAGTAAAGTCAGGTGCTATTATAAAATCATGTGTTCTTGTTGACATTCTTTTAAAATTCTGTCTCTGTCTGAAAGTTGTCAGCCACCAGTCATCCAGAATTTCCTTCATGAATCTCCATGCTCAAGTTCAATGTCTACATGAAAGTCTAATTAATGATTATTGAACTGTTATCCTCAGGGCTTACTCTTTTGCCTGCTGTCTGCTATCCTGGTCAGACATCTTTTTGTAGCCTTTTGATATTATTGCAAATAGTCTTTTATTTAGACTGATTCCTAGACTTTCAGAATCTCGCATGCTAATGGAAGTTCCTTTCTGCTTCCTTATGATTTTTTAAATAAACCTTTTAATAAATAATATGTAGTGAAAAACTGTCATCTTTCTTGAAGACACCAGTGGTTATTAGTATTAGAACACACCTTTTACCAGAATTTTGTTTTGGACTTTTTTTGAATATGAAAGTCACTGATGTTATATCATTTGTTATCTTCATAGCATCTAGTATTAGTTCCCTGAGAGCATCATCTTCTGAAAAATAAAACTTTAGAAATATACTCACTTGTAAATAAAAGATTAGAACTGAAGAATAAAAAGAATATGCCAAAAATACTACTTAAAAGGTCTATTTCCAAGACATGAATTATCTGTACATATGAATAGAGGAAAATGTTGTGTGTTCATGTTATGGGGTCACAATCTTACATTCCAAAATTCCTAAAGCTCTGAAAATTGAAATACTTTTTCCAAAGTTAGGCATAAATTCAATGCCCTGAACAAATTAAAGGCTATTTATATACTTCACTTAAGGGAATCATTTATATATTTTCCTACAAAATTATTAATGTATTTTATGGTTGAGTGCTAAACTATATTGTCTTTTTAAAATTTGGACAATTTTGAATTCTGAAACACTCTTATGCAAAAGAGATTTGGACCCTGTATTAAACCCGTAAAGCGTCTCATTTATAAGTGAATAACTCTTACACAAATCATAACTGAGTTATTATGATCTGTTGCATTTTGGTGTTCAACATATTTCACCAAATGTGGGGAAGACCAAGCATTATATTATTACTCCTCATAGCCAAGAACATCGATTAATAATATGCATTTTAGCATAAAATTTTCTTACAGAATATTTATGAAAGCATTGAATGGGGTTCCCAAGATGAACCCTGGATGTCAAAGATCTATGTGCTCTCACCAGGGCTAAAGTTCTCACTGGACACTCAGTGGGTAATTTGAGACTATTGGCCACCTCTGATTTCAGACTGATCCAGGAGCCATTGGTCATCTAAAATGAAAGAGCACACAACACGGATGGAGCTGGAGATCAACTTAAGGGAACTGACTCAGAAACAGAAAACCAGATACCACACGTCCTCACTTCTATGTGGGAGACAAATGGCCACAAAGATGGAAATAATAGACACTGGAGACACCAGTAAGAAGGAGGTGGGGAGGGAGTTTAGGGTTCAGAAACTACCTACTGGATACAATGTTCACTCTCTGTCCAAAAGGTCACCTGAGACCCAATCCCCACCACAACACAATAAATCCATGTAACAAACATGTGCCCTCTAAGTCTAAAATAGCATATTTGGTACCTGTGAAGGAGAGATATAAAGCTGGCAAACTACGATCGGTGGGAAGCTGGGTGCCCACATGCTATTACTAGAGAGAGAAAACATTTCCCAGGATTTGCTATGTATGCCTCATACCCATTTTTTTTAAAAAGAGTATACAATTTTTATTTATATTAAGAATTCTTTAAAATAAGTACAATATGTTTATTTCACTGAACAGAAGTTGAGCAAAGCTAAAAGTTGTTATATTAAGTTGTACTTACAACTGTAACAAAACTGACATATTCTGAAACTTTCATACAATTGTGACCATAATTCAGTTGCTGGATTTCACACAGTCACTGGGTTGATACACACTGCCGGACAGCAGATGAATTACATGGAAAGTGTCAAAACAACTTTATGAATTTCAAATATGTTTATGCATAGAAAAGTACAAAAATACATCTATAAAATTGCTGATAGACTCTACTTGGACAGCAGAAGCAGCCCAGGTTGCTGGTGGAAGTCAGTAGGAAATCCTACTTGTTCAAAAGGCATTTGGAAGTTGCAAAATGAATGCCTAGTTGATTAAATTAGATATATGTGAAGATCTGTGTTTTGAAGCTTTCTAGTGGGGAGAAATATTTTCAACCACTAATTGCTTCATAAACTGATTTGTATAAAGTGGCCAAATGCTTAAAATCATCTCTAAAGTTTTTTAATCATCCATGAGAACAAATGGCAACACCAGATACTTAAACAGCTTTTGAATAAAATTACAAAATGCTTTATTTCATGAGAGGCTGTACTGTGCTTTGAAGTGTATTTCTGTGACTTTATTGATATGGGTGAACACAAGAAAACAAAAATATGTAATTGGAGGAGGGATGCAATTTAATTTTCTTTTTAAGAATGGCATTTCATCAGTCCAGAGCAAGTTCTTTGCAAACTTTAGTATCTGTTTCATTGCCACACAGGCAAAACAAAGTATTTTCCAAGAATGTTGATCTAGTTGTTGCAATCTCAATCAGCCAAGTGATAGACACTGAACAAACCCCTATAAAGACTTCTCCATAAAATTACAATCTTGACTTAAATCAAGAATGGGCAGTCCTATAATGCCAAGTGTCAATATTGATGCCCAAATAACTTTGCATTCAATATGTCTTGCTATTTCATCTACCTAAATGGATGCTATTGGGGTTTTTTTAAAGCCTCTGTCTTTTTTAAGTGCTCAGAATTAAGCAAACTTTAAGTGAATTGTAGTAAATAATTCAAGCTGTAAATTATCTTGGCCTTTAATACATCAAAAGCAAGACTAATATTAATATTGAAATTTTTCACTATGTTACTGGGCTTGAGAAACAGAAACTGGCAGAGATTAATTAGTTGACCTGAATCTCAATGTCTTTTTTGTGGTAGGATAAAAAGGGAACATTCTATAACCTGTTACCCTAGTACCTGCATTATTTTAAATCTCTCCAGAGTTGATAATTTCATGCCACAGTCAAGGTCAGTCCTGGCAAAAGAAGAAAGTCTGCTTTGCTTTATTTTTTTAAAAGGCTTTCTCTGAACTTGAAATAAGAGAAAGTTGAAAAAAATAAGTTGAATAAAATGAGTTTAAAACAAACATGCAGATTGGCAGTGCACTGTCAAATGCCCCTGTCCTCTGTACAGCTCTCTGCGGGAAGCTCTTTGCTGTCAAGAAGGTCGTTTTCTTTGAGTGTAGCTGGCAAGAGTCTCTGATCATCCTTACAACTAGTTCAGGAGAAAGGTCTGGATATATATCTGTCTTTCAATCCATTCAATGAAGTATGACACATTGCTGTAAACACCAGGCCCCAGGACCTTGGAAAAGCAGACGGAGCCCCAGGAAGTCAACCCAAATAATGTCCACTGTCCTCCAGGGCGCTCACAGACAAGAGGCCCGCCACTGTCCCCCTGTAATGGAGAGCAATGGGTGTTAATCACTGGCATTCAGAGCCCTGACGGCATCCATGCTATCCTGAGGGTACAATGAAACTCAACCCAGTGTAACCAACATGGAAAATTTCACCAAAGCTTTTCTTGTCAGCCTGTGGAGGGAGTATGCTTTCCACTGTAGAAATGGAAATTTCAATGAACATCTTCAACTGTGATCATTAAAAGGAAGGGGAATGGCTTGGGAAGAAATTACATTCTTTCTTCCCATGAAATTAAAAGACATTTTTCTGTCATTTCCTGCACTTATAAAAATATATCATAAAATTTTGTTAAAATATCAGAACTAATTAACTCATAATTGACCTCATTCTTCAAGTATGATTTATCTTATAATTGTAGAAAATACCCAAAGTGGAACAAAGATTTCCCCCACATACACACAGTACCATAAAAACATTCTAAAATAGCTCTTTGTTTTCAAAATTCTTGCTATGTGAATGCACACATTAATAATAACACAATTTGAGGTCTCTTACTGTGCTTTTTAGTGGTTCTTAGGACTTATTTATTTGCCATATTTAATAGGAATATTAAATATATTTAATAACTGTAATATATTATTTACAGTTAAGTATTTTGTTTATAGCCTGTATTTTATATCAAATATAGGGAGATTTTCATTTTTGATATTTAAGTTTAAGTATTCTAATTAAATTTATTCAGATTTACCCCCAAAATACAGTTTACAATAAAATGCTGCGGCATTATAGAGATTAATATTTGCTACATCTGAGATCAGAATAGATAGTGTTCGATATGGTCTCAAAAGAGAGAGAAGTTGATACCAGAAAAAATAAGAAAGTATGTAAACTCACTATGGAAAATTACAAATACCCTTCACCCTACAAGACTTTCAAACTTAGAAGCATATCAATGGTATTCCTATTTGCTAATCTGTTAAATAACAAGGATAATGTTTCTTGATGCTCTTCTAAATATTTTCCATATATTACTTAATTTTTTCAAAATCCCTAAGAATTGATATTATTTAGTATTCCTACACTCTGTGAAGATAAAACTGAAGCACAGGTTAAACAACATGTTCATTGGCAAAGCCAGGATTTGAAATCAGACAGCATGGCAACAAGACTGCAGCTTTTTTTTTTGAGTTGGAGTCTCACTCCATCACCCAGGCTACAGTGCAGTGGCACACTCATGGTCACCCTGGCATCGACCTGCTGGGCTCTGGTGATCCTTCCACCTCAGCCTTCCAAGTAGCCGAAACTACAAGCACACACTATCATGTCCAGCTAATTTTTTTTTACATTTATTGTAGAGACGAGATCTCGCCAAGTTGCCCAGGCTGGTCTTGAACCCATGGGCTCAGGCAATCCACTCACCTTGGCCTCCCAAAGTGCTGAGATTATAGGCTGAGCCACCGAGCCCAGCCAAGACTGCAGATTTTTAACTGCCAGATCACCTAGCTTCTTAGGAATGTCAGTGAATATTAGTACCATGCAAAATAAACTGAATTTTTTATTGTACCATATGCTTCTGTGGAAGTGGCAATCTATAAATTGCTTTCTAGTGCCCTAAGTCTACATGATAAGCATAGAACTTGCGAGGAGTGGAATACATTTTTCTGCCTGAGAGCCTAACTGAATTTTTTTTTTTAGCAAAATTTCCTGGAAACATTTTACTAATCATTTCCATCTCACCTTACATAAGATACAAACTAAGATGCTAAGTCATTTAGGTTGAGCCATTTATTAAACCTGAAAGTGATGAAAATGGGAAACCCTTGGATGCTGGTACCTTTTCATTTATAGATCAGTAGTGTAACCAAATAATGACCTAGCATCTATTCTTTGCAAGGTTCTATGCTACACACAAATGAAGAAGGCACTACTTTTGTCACAGAGCAGTCAAAAGTCTGCTTGGGTAACAAGAATAACTTTATATGAAAGCAAAATCAAAGGGCTATCAAGAGGACTTCAAAGGAATGAGCTATTACTTCCAGGTGGAGGGGATACAAGTGCCTTCCTGAGAGGCAGGTGTTGAGTTGGGCTTGGTGAGTCAGGTGGGTGTTCCACCAGGTGGAAAGCATGGTTAAGACCAAGCCATTCAGCATGGAAGAGAGGATACAGATCACAGCACAATTTATCCACTCTGTCCTTTTGGTCTTCTTTTCTTCTTCATAATATTGGGCTTTTATGGTTGCCTTCAGTATTAATTTATAGACCTCCACCAAGAGACCTATGCTCCCAATGTGTCCTGTTGATGCAATTACAGAAACTAGTGCATGTTGTATAATGGAGGTTTTGGTATAAAAATGTGCTCCTGACCTAGTAAAAAGTAGCTTTTGGTTGTTTTGTGTTGTGTTTTGTTTTCTACCTGAGGCTGTGTTAGAGCCTATCTGGTCTGCATTGAAGACATTGATGGCATTGAATTCCCACTACTGAAGATGCTGGCAAGACCTACTTCCTATTAGAAGCCACAATATAAACATGCCTGTGCCCAGGCCCTCAGTTTCCTGTCAAGGAATCACCTCACCTCCCCTCCTTCAGCAGTTGCCAAGAGATGATCTTGAATATGTGCCAAGAGGTGCCACTTTTTGGTAAACTTCCAAATCACATTGGGGAAAGGAAGAAATGTATCTGTTAATGATTGCTATGAGAATAGGGTAGTTAGTGGCTGAGCATCTGGGCCCTGAAGCCAGACTGCCTGATTTCTTATCCTCACTTTACCACCTTCATGCTGGCTGATCTGGGGCAAATTAATCTCTCGGCTCTCTTGTTTTCTTGATCTGTTTTGGGAAAGCAATGACACTGTCACATGGGGTAATTGTGAGGATTAGATGAGCTGTTAAAAAGCATTTAGCAGACAGTCTGGAACACACCAAGCACTAAACTGATAGCTGTTAATAGTAACATAATTTATCTCCATTGAACGTCCAAGTAAGTGCCAGACAGATTTATGAAAGACAGGGGTTTTCACATACGTTCACTCAGTGAACCCTTTAAGCATCCTACAAATTAGAAATGGCCTCATTTGATGCATGAGAAAACTGTCTGGAGAGGTTAGACCCCTTCCCAGGTTGTAGTGCTCCTGCTGGCAGAGATGGGCCCCAAGCCAAATCTTCCAGGCTGCAACTCCCATGCCCATGTCATGCTGCCTCCTAAAACACTTGTTGTTTATGGTGTGGGAAATCAAACCTGGTCTTCTACCACCGTCCACTTCAACCGGAAGACTTGTGACCATGAGGCGGAAAGGAGGGTGACCTCGAGAAAAGGCCAAAGGAACTGTCTGCCTCCCTCTTTCCCATGACATCTGTCTAAGGAAACACCACTGGGCCATTTCCAATCCCCTGTTTTCTTTTCTAGTGTGGACTATCAGGATGAGTGTGGTAGCTCATCCCTGTAATCCCAGCACTTTGGGAGGCTGAGGCAGGAAGACTGCTTAAGGTCAGGGATTCAAGACCAGCCTGGACAACATAATTAGACACCATCGCCACAAACAATTTAAAAATTAGCTGGGTGTGGTGTCACATGTCTGTAGTCCCAGCTACTTAGGAGGCTGAGGTAGGAGGATCACTTGAGCCCAGGAGTTCGAGGCCGTAGTGAGCTAGGTTCACACTACTGAACTTCAGCCTGAGTGAGAGTGAGACCCTGTCTATTAAAAAAAAATCTAAATAATTTTTTTAAATGGACTACCAAATATGCTGTTTATGTTGAATTAGTAGCAACAATTAATGATGGCCATTAATGATGGCTGGATGAGGTGAACAGGAGCAACTGCCTTTCCCTGTTGCTGACCAAGGGCAGTGCTCCTCACATGGCAGATGCGAAGGTGAAGGTATTGGAATGGGGAGGATGCAGTAGCTAGGGGAACTGCTCCGCACTGACTAGACAAGCACATGCTGTGAATAAGTAAACCCTGGGTGACAAATGGCTTCCAAGCAGTGATCCCCGAGGGCCATGCAAGAATAGTCATGAGTTGAGGGGTCACTGAAACTACAGCTGAGCTGAATCTCCTTGGTGACCAGGAGGTGACCTACCATGCAGGAGTCGACGGTGCCAGACTCATAGCCTGCACATATCATCCGGGTGGTGATGGTCTTCATGTCAAAATAGGACTGACACTGCTCCAGAGAAATGATGCGGACCTCTCCCTCCTGCAGCTTAAAAGGCACTAGAAGAGATGGAGGAGGGGTGGGACGGGGAGGGGGAAGGAAAGAAAGGGGAGGAGGAGGAAAGGGGGATGGAGAGGAAGAGAAGAAAGAAAGGGAAAGGAAAAGAGGAGGAGGAGGAGAAAGAAGGGGAAGGAGGAGGAGAAAGGGAAGGGGGTGGCAAGGAAAGGGAAGGGTCGGGAAGGGAATGGGAGAGAGAGAAGGAGAAGAAAGAGAGGGATGGGAGAAGAAGTAGGAGAAAGGAGGAGGGAGGGTGGGAGGGGTGGGAAGGGGAGGGAAGAGGGAGGAGGAGATAGAGATGGAGAGAGAGAGAAGGAGAAAGGGGGGAAGAGGGGAGGGAGAGAGGAATGGGAAAAGGAGAAGGGGGGAGAGGGAGAAGAAGGAGATTGAGGGAGAAAGGAGGAAGGAGGAAGAAGGAAGAAAGAAAAAGAAGAATATATATATTTAAGATGGCAAAATGGCTCAAATGGGAGGCTGACCAGATATGAAATGGAAATAGCGTATGGACATTTTTATACCAATAGAACCATATTCTTCACCCAAAATGTCATTGCAAAGACAGGACTTGCTTGGAATCAGAATTTTCCAATTACTAGTGTTCATAGCAATTCTAGGGGAAATCCCTTCACTTTACCAATGAGGAAACTGAGGCACAGACTAATTAAGTAACTTGGCTCATGCTTTTCCCCTTTTTATTATAAGCTATGACAAGAGCAACAGCTACTACTAGGAAAAGAGAAAATATCAGGCTGGAGATCATCCAGCTGCCAGCCCAGTATCAGCTCAGCATGACCGTCCTGCTCTGCTACTGCGGAGAATACTTAGGAAGTGTAACTTGGAGAGGCTCCCCTATTCTTGGTAAAAAGAGTATCTCATCAGATGTAGCCATGATTTGATGTAAGAGCCTTTAATCCTAGAGGGGGTTGACAGAGAGATATCGAAAAGGACAACGCCCTTCTTCAGTATTGACAGAGAGCATATGTGAATTACATCTTGCTAGAAAGTTCTTGCAGGATGACAATGGGTTTCTTGCAGCAAGACAGTGTGAATCCATGCTGCTAAGCCATTCTACAAAATCACATTCACCGTTCTTCTTTTAAACAGTGATGGGGAAGCATCACTGGGTGCTTTATTGGAAGGAGGAGTGATGAAAAAACTGCTAAGCAAATGTTTTGAAAAAAATCAGCGTCATGCAGACAGTGAAAGTTTTATGAGTTGCCAAAAGAATAGTACAAAAAACACTAACAGTTACGGGGTATGAGTGGTAGACTGGGCACCTACGCGCAGCATCATCTGGGCCTTATCGCCTTTCATATTTACAACAATCTTGCAAGGTAGACAGTTGCTTTAATTTTTTTCCGTTTCATACCAAGCTAGAAAGTAGTGCATTGGGGTTACCCAGAGCCTTCTGACTTAATTTAGATCCTTGCTTTCCATGCTACACTGTACATAAGGCACGAGCAAGAGGTTACACTATTGCTCAGTTTGATACTGATATTGTGAAAGGGATACAAGTAGAAATAATAGATAGCATAGTCTGCTCTTGTATTACAGTGCTAACTATAGCTTTTTAAAAATGAGATGCATAGAAATGGTGACATCCTATGTCTAACATCATATGACTACCATATGTCTAATTCAAAATTCTTACATGGGAGTTTTTTTCCCGAAAAACTCATTTATTTCTGTCTATTGACTTTTTTCCCCTTCTTTAATTGATCACATAAAAAAGAAACTCAACCTTTCTCAAAACTTAATGAAGTCTTAAGAAAAAAGTTCCTTCAAATATGCAATTTCTAAGGTCAATAATGAGATGCTAAGATACATCACCATTCTTGAGCACCACAGTGTTATACTTAATATAATCAGAGAGGTCAGCACTTACAGTTAAAGAAAATGCCTCATTGATTCAATCATATTCTAAACGTGAAATAGGTCAAACAGAATGAGAGTTCATTATGGAGGCTGAGAGGAAGTATGGAGCACACATTTTTAATTTCTATGTCTTTAGTGTGTTCACCTCAACTATAGAGCCAAACTATTTTAATCAATTTAAATAGGAAAAGAGCAAGTCAATTTTTTTCCAGAAGGACTTACAGATTATGTTGCAGATAAAACCAAATCGTAACCCAGAATTGGAAACATCACCTGCAGCTCAACTGCAAAAGCAACACTGCAGCAGACAGAGGCCCCAAGGGCTCCTCCCTCCCAATGGCTCCTATTTTCCAAGGCATTCATATAAGATAGCCCCAATCATGGCTAGAGATGGCCCAAAGCACAGCTGACTGATAGATCTCATTCCTGTATGACAACCCCAAAGCATCACTAGTGGCTCATGGAGAAAGATTCTAAAAGATTTTTGAGACCACATTTAAGCTTGACAGTTGCCATGATGGATTTTCTTTTTTCTTTTTTTGTTTCAGAATCTCACTCTGTCACCCAGGCTGGAGTGCAGTGGCATGCTCACAGTCACCCAAGCGTTGATCTGCTGGGCTTAGGTGTTCCTTCCACCTCAGCCTTCCAAGTAGCCAGAACTACAGGTGTGCCCTACCACATCTGACTAATTTTTTATTATATTGTAGAGACAAAGTCTCACCAAGTTTCCCAGGCTGGTCTCGAGCTCCTGGGCTCAGGCAATCCTCTCGCCTTGGCCTCCTAAAGTACTGGGATTACAGGCTTGAGCCACTGTGCCTGGCCCATGATGGATTATTAGCATCTATGATTTATATGTTCACCAAGTATATACCATACACTATATTTTTATAAGTGAAAACAGGGAATGATGGCCAAAGGCTAAGCAGAAACGGTGCTTGTCAGCTATGAGCTAACAGGTTCCTGGGGATGGCAGCTTACTTTTGTTGCCCATGTGGCCCCAGCCTGTGATGTAGCAATAGGTGTCGGGTTCCAGCCACTGCCGTGGGCTGGGTAAGCACACGGGCCGGACATAGCTCGTCTCGTTGACTTCCTCACTCAGCTCAACGATGCTGATGTCATAATCCACCACGGCCCGACTGTAGCGGGGATGAAGGATGATGGTCCTCACAGAGCGTGTCTGCATGAACACTGACGGGTGGTCCAGATTGTTGATGCCAAGCACCACCTTCCAGATGCCAGCATTCTCCCTCCTAAAATCACAACCCAAGAGCTATTGACATCTTGAAAGCAAAAGATTCACACGTGATTTTTAAACATCCTATTGATGTAATAATGACTATTTTCCTGTATTGATGGACTTTTTTTCATTTACTCTTTTTTAAAAAAAATTTCAATAGCTTTAGGGGTATACATGGGTTTTGGTCACATGGAGACATTGTACAAGGGGAGGGTCCAAAAAACCCTGGAATTTATTTATTGCTACATGTTTAAATATCATTCACCTTCAAAGTACTCTCTTTTTGATGCAATACACCTATCGAGATGCTTTTCCCATGGCTCAAAACAGTTTTTGAACTCATCAGTTTTGATGCCTGTTAGTGCTTCTGCTGTTTTTTGTTTCATCTCTTCCACATCGGTAAAATATTTCCCCTTGAGAAGCTTTTTTTCTTCTGGGGGAAACAAAAAAGTCACTTGAGGTGAGATCAGGGGATTAGGGAGGGTGGGTCATGGGGATCATGCCATTTTTGGTCAAAAACTGCTGAACTCTCAGTGTGTGGTGTGTGCAGGTGTGCTTATAAATCACCCATCATGAAATGGGCAAATTCATAGAAAGAATCTCAAAAAAAATAATTCATTGAAGCCAAAAGCAGCCTCTCACAACATTAGCTAGTACACTGATGCCAAAGGATTACCAGAACACTTGCCTATCAGGGGAAGTCTGTACTACAAGGGGCCCACCCTCCAAAAGATGATTCCATATTCTTTGGTGTCCTTCCTCGAATAGTGGCAAAAAAATAAACAGAATACAGTAATCCCCTGATGTATTCCTCCACAATCACAACACCACTGTGATGTTGTAGTAATAATCACTGTGATCCTTTCTTTATTTTGCATCAGAACTTTAATTACCTATGTACAAATCCCCAAACCATGCAGGTTTCATATTTGTCTGTTTTTCTTTGCTTTGTTTGACTAGACATTCCTTTGGTCCTTTTTTACAAAAAAAAAAAAAAAACTGCATTAAAATTACAGTTCATTTATTTAAAAACTTTTCAGAAAAAGATTTGAAATGCATAAGTAAACTTATCACATGTCCAAAAAATAATGGCTATTTTCATGCCTACTTGGCAATGCATGCATGTAAGAGACATGCATATAATGCCCTGAGTGGTTAGTAAATAAGTATTATTGTTGTAGAAAGCACAGCTCATGATTCTTGAAGGGAGTTAGTCTTAAAAACAACACATGTTCAGTTTTAAAGGCAGACAGGGTAGTTATTGCTTCACTGAATGAGAAAGATAATGAAAAGCCATGAAAAAGAGAGATGAAGACAACCCTACAAGAAAGAGCAAGTACCTCAAAGAAATGTAAAGTTTTCAGCGGAACCTTCAACATATTTCAAGCCAAGGGCTTAAAATGATCACTCACAAGCTTCAATAGTTAGTCTGAGTCCACTGTTCTTGAACACTTGTTGTCAACATTTTAGCCAATTCTCACCTGAAAACACTTTCTTCACTTGGCTTCCAGTTCTTACTATGCCCCAGAATTCCTCTAATCTCATGGACCTCTCAGTCTTCTATTCTGGGTTCTCTTTCTTGGCCTTCAGTATTGATATTCAAGTGCTTGGGGACTCTACCCTCAACTTCTCATTTCAGCCTCTCTTGAGGATTGCATCTAGCCCAATGGTTTTAAACATCATGATCCCCAAATGACTCCCAAATGTGTATCCCCAGCTCCATCCTCTCCTGAGCTGCAGATTGGAATGCTCCATGGTCTATTCAACACACTCCTTGGATGTTTGATGATAGCCAATATTTACTGAGGGTATACCACACAAGCACTCAGAAATCATGTTACAGTGATTTAATTCTTATAAACACCAGTTACCCAGCTGAATCTTCTCTTTCTCTTACACCCAACATCTAATGTACCAGCAAGTCTTCAACACTCCTACTTTTGAATATGCCCTGCATCTTACTATCTTCCTTCCCCTCCTCTCCTGTTACAATCCCAAACTAAGACACTCTCATCTACTTGGACCATGTAATGGCCTTCCAAATGGTGGCCCTTCTTCTAATCTTAGCTCCTATGGTACATTGTTCTAACAGCAATCAGGGTGATTTTTTTTTTAAATCAGAGTCTCAATATGTTGCACAGACTGGAGTACAGTGGCACAATCATAGCCTACTGCAGCCTCGACCTCCTAGGCTCAAATGATTCTCCTGCCTCAGCCTTTCTAGTAGCTTGGACTACAGACGTGTTCCATCAAAACTGACCAATGTTGCCTGAATGATGCACATTTGTATACCTAACCCTTAACTGTACCCCACAATTTTATAATTAAAAAAAAATGTTTTAAAAAAAACTGACCAATGTTTTCTATTTTTTGTAATGATGAGGTCTTGCCATGTTGCCCAGGCTGGTCTCAAACTCCGGGGCTCAAGTAATCCTCCTGCCTTGGCCTCCCAAAGTGCTAGGATTATAGGCATGAGCCACCATGTCTGGCCCCAGTGTGATCTTTTTGAAATAAAACTAGATCAAGTTCATCTCCTGCTCATCATTCTCCAGGACTCTGTGATACACTTGAGATAAATTCTAGACTCCTTTTCTTGGCCTCTGAGGCCCTATACAATATGCCCTATTCTAGCCCCAAGGACTTTCTATTTTTTTTGTTTTGTTTTGAGTTGAAGTCTCACTCTCGCACATGCTAGAGTGCAGTGGCACATACACAGCTACTGCAGCCTCAACTTGCTGGGCTCAGGCGATCCTTCCACCTCAGCCTTCCAACTAGCTAGAACTATAGATACGCTCCACCCAGCTAATTTTTTGTTTTATTGTAGAGACTGGGGCTTGCTATGTTGCCCAGGCTGGTCTCAAACCCCTGGACTCAGGCAATCCTCTCACCTCCACCTTCCAAAGTGCTAGGATTACAAGTGTGAGCCATCATGCTCGACCTGTATGTCATTTTAAAACATTTATTATTGGCAGACTCCAATCACAACGGCAAAGTCTATTGTTCATCACTCCCTCCAACCCCTCCTTCATTTTCAGTCACTCCTTCACTAGAGGGGCCCAGATAAAGACATGGACATTGATTAGACCACAGTGTTGTGGAGGGGTGGTGCCTGATACTGCAGAACTGTGAGCCAGCCACACTACCACCACCCCTTCTTAGGATCTTGCAATCAAATCAACTAAAGCAGGTTGACTTCACCATCTAGGCCAGTTGTTTTTAAACCCAGATTAAACATGGAATCCTCTGGGGAACTTTTAAAGTAGTGATTCTCTGAGCATCACCCCTTATCAATCGAAACAATTGTCATCTGGGGCCTGGGAGTCAGTATTTTTAAGAGTAGTAGGGGGGTCTCAGGCAAAACCCCACCACACCTCTCCTTAACTTGGCATATCTCTCTTCCCCATCAGCATGGCAACTCAAACGGCAGATTTCAGGAGAGTGAGGAGGAGGGACCAAGGCAGGCACTCACACTGTTTTTAGTATTGTTGGATACTTGGGCCAGACTCTAAGAAGAGACTCCTCCTAACAGGCATGCATTCCGTCCTTTGTTCATTTAAACAAACAAAAAACTTCAGAGCTATCAAGAGAGGAACTATTGTCATTCAGTGAGTAGATAGAGATAGAAATAGAGAGAGAGAGAGAGATAAAGATAAAAAGCAACTTCTCTATGCCAAGCATGGTGTTGGGATTAAAATAATAAGCATGTAAGACATGATTCTTGCCTATACAAACTCTAGAATTGGACGAAGATGGACAATTGAAGAAACAATTATAAAAAATTTGCAGGAAGTGCAATTCACATAAGCATAAGCATGACAAAGAATGTTACAGAATTATTTTTAGGCCATAAAGCTGTCACAAAAAACATGTTCTTCTTTCTCTTTCTCTTTCTTCCTTCTTTTCCTTCTTTCTCCCCTCCCTTTCTTCCTTCTTGCCCTTTCCTTTTTATTCCAAAGGTGTAACTGCATAAACATCTTCATTCCAAAGGAGTACGTGAACAGACATTTGAAAAATTCAGCAAGCACCAAGCTCCTATTGTTTTAGACACCTTAAAGCGAGCAATAATTTATTTCAAATTTCTGCCTATTGAAGAGCTTCTTGCCCTAGAATTGAGTTACCAAGCTAAGAAAAACACTCACCCATCTGTTTAAATCACAAGCAGTATTTGGAACACTTGAACATTCCAAATTACTTGTAACAACATTCAATAACATCAAAATTCCAGACTTCATTACTGTCTCAGATTTGATGTGTCTAATGTTTTTAAAAAAAGGTGTAAAATAAAACTATTAAACAGTAACTTGTATCCAGTAGTCTTTTGGTATATAAGCTACTGTCCCTGTGGCATTAATATCCACCAAAAGCAAAAAAAGAAATGTGCACAGGAAATTCACATACATCTTTGTATTCAGTGATGATATTGTTCTTTTTGATTTTTGCTGAGTATGATGAGAAAAATACTGTATCTTTTAACATCTTTTCCCCAGAGTCTGGCAAAAGAAACAAAATACACACACAAAAGAAAAAAAAAAAAAAAACAATCTATCATGGGGAAGGGATTCCAAGGTGAGGGAGATGTACACACATGGTGTTTGCTACACCTAGCAAGTGCTAGACAGGACAAGTCAGGAGTTCAGCAGAGCTGGGTGGAAGCAACGAGAAGGAAGCAATGTCAGGCTCCGTGGATGCCACAGGAGTTTAACATTCGTTCAATTGTATCCAGTGGAGACACACACATGGGAACAGATGATGTTCATGGCCATTTCAGTCAAAAGAGCTAAATTTGTCTGTAAAGAAAGAAAAATCAAGTACAGCAGCTGAAAATCTTCAGCATAAAGAACACTACTTCCCACCTGGTTGTCAGACCTCACCACGGCAGCAAAAACCAGCGCATCCTTACAGAAGTCCTTGCCAAGAACCTCACACTCTGAGCATGAAGAAGCAGGCCCTGTGATCACCCACCGACCACAGTGAAAATGGCTGAGGATGCAAGAAGACCTTTTTCTTCCTTCA